CCGTTTCTGTTCCACAAAAAAACTACATAGATTTATAAAAGTTTTTAAAAACATATGTTACAAAGCAGTTTATTACTAATGAGATTTTTTACTTTGTAAATCTTAAATCTAAACAAATAATATTTGCGCTCTCATTTTTTGATACTGAATTAGAATATAATACTTTCGAAGAGCTTAGAAAAAATAGATGATAACAACCAGAAACGATTAGAGAAAAGGCTGATTTTTAGTCAGACATCTAATATTACTAATTTCTTAGGCTTTTTCCAGTAAGAGAGCGATCCAATAAAAACAAAAAAAGTAATTAAATATTCATAGCTAATTCATCGAGCGCCATCAAACCATGCATAAATAGTTTAAAAATAAAATGCACTCGCATTTCATCTTTCCCTAACCTTACAAAAGCTTCGTTGTTTAACAATTGCAGCAGTTTTTTCTTCTTTCATATATATGTGAGACGGCTTAATCTGAAAATCACGGTAAGTACTAAAGAGTGTAATTAAAATAATTCTCTTCCTTGGAAAAATCATACTTCTTAGTCTTTTATGCTGTTTTTCTTTCTTGTACTATATCAAGACCGTACGTTATTACGGAAAAACTTCTTCAGAACTTATTTCAACAGTCTAACCAGTTAAATCTGATGGTGTCCAAAGAAACTATCTTTCTCCAACGTATTTGCAAGACTTTCAGTAAAGTATTGTCAAAAAATGTCTTATTTAATATAACAAGAACAGAAGTTTTTCTACGAGTCTAATCAGAATTGAGAGTGTGTCCATCAAAATAGCACCTCATGTTCATAATATTTTACCATAAATTTGCGCCATTGTTTAATAGCAACCATTTGTAATTCGATCATCCGATATTTGCTCACGTTTTCAATTTTCTGATAAATATCATCCAGGCTAATGAGTTCTTTCTTAGTAGTCAATCTTTTTCTTGTCTTTTCATATCTCCTTTTGAGCTCTTCAAGTTCTTGCGTCAAGTTTAGGTTCAATTCGTATGAACTTTTCTTAGCACAAATTTCATCTTCTTCTTTAATCATTCTCTCTAAGCCTAACAAGAATGGATCATTGTTTGAAGTGCCGGATGCACCAACCAGAAAATTTGCAAAACCAGCACTTGTTTGATACAAATCATCAAGTATCTGTGTCATGCTTTTCTCAGAGTTGCTTGCTAAATCATCACATCGTTTATATCCAAGTTCATAATCTATTGGGTAGTGATCAGATGGGTCACATCGACAAGTTCGACATCTATTATGAAAGATATGTAAGCCATACGTTGTAATCCAAAAGTCAGCAACTTGAGCAAAGTCATGAGAACATTTTAAGCAAATGGCTGTTGTACCTTTGATAATTTTTGGATATAATTCTATATAAACTTTAGACGATCTAGCATTCCATAAAATAAGATTACGAAGAATATTTCGCATAGCCTCTAACATAGGTCGAATCATCAAATTAATTTTCAGTTGCACATGTTTCGTGGAGTGTGATTCATCAGGGATAATACCTATAGACATCTTCGTGCGAATGTATTGAAGAAGACGATTCGATTCAGCAGATGATTTCTCCCAACTATCATTGTATTCACGTTCGTCAATGTCCTTGAATTTGATCTTATTCAGTCTGGCGACTAAGTAACGAAATGACTCATTATCGAAACAAAACGTATTCTCTCTGGTGAAAGGAATCTTTTTGACAAGAAGTGAATCAAGTAAGGTTTTGAGTGCGGGAGCGGTATTTCCTGGTGTATAAAATGTTGAACGTGAGTTGGTGAAGCAAAAAATAATTTTGTCGCACGCATTTTCACCCAGCAAATCGATTAATTGCATAAAATACAAACGAAAGAAAATATTGAGCCGTGTGTTGTTAGGTTTTAATAGAATACAGATAGCATTCAAGTGTGTCAGATTCGTAATATATGATAAAATATGTTGAAGATTTACATCGTCTTGACCGGAGCCATGTGTATCTCCTATTCCAGGAGTGTCAATAATGCGCAGTTTTCGACCATGATGGTTGCCATCTTTGAGAGTAAACACATATGATTTACAATGTTGAGTAACTGAGTGACCAAGATTATCATGATCTTCATTACTTAAAGTATCATTTCCCTCGAATTTGACTACCTGTTCTGTAAAATTATCATCAATTGTAATAGCAAATGAAACAGGTATGAGTACAACTGGATTCTTCTCAGCTTGTTTGAGTTTGTCAAATTTCAGATAGTTAACAAAAGCATTGATGAAAGTCGATTTACCAACACCTGATTCTCCAAGAAGTAAAATATTGAGACTTTTATCACTTGTCGGTCGTTCTTGTGGTGGTGTTGTCACTGGTGGCGTAAGAGTTGCATTATTCTTCTTTTCAGTCGCAGGTAAAATGATGATATCATGCAGTTTGCATAAACAATAAGAGAAGTCAACATAGATCAATTGTAACTCAGGATTTTCTTCATGCTCTTTTAACAACTGACCACAGAGTGTATACCATTGTGATCGATTGGTTTTGTATAAATGATCATTTGAACAGATGATACTTGTATGCTTTGCATCAGCCAAAAGCTTCCGTTCGAGTGTTTGTCGATCATCGTCATATTGTATGTCTCGATCGATTGCATTTTGATAGATAAACTGTTTTTCTGTCAAGTCTTTGATCAACTGTTCTTTTTTATCCATTGTATTCAGATAATTAGTGAATTCGTTTATTTTCTTTGTCATTGTTTCTACTTGATCGTTGCTTAATTCGTTAGGAATCTTAGTTTGATCGATTTCACCGCGACGGATACCAAGTACTAGATTTCGAACCCGATGAATTTCATTTGTGTACATCTCTTTTAAATTGCGCCAAGCTGTTCGCATTTTATTAAGTTCAATCTTTAGGTGTTGTTGTAAATTTCTATAATCTTGATCCATTGCTCTGTTTAGTTTTTTGAAGGTGAGTGATAAATGAAGTAAATAAGACTCAATTCGAACGATGCCGTCTTGCTTCAGCTCAATGAATATAACTTGTTTTTCATTATTCACAGCATAAAGATAGTCTATTGGATAAAGATTATAATTATACGGTTTGAGAAGGCTGCTATTAAGCCTTACGGATGGGATATTGCGATGAAAATCAGTTATTGAATTGATTCTAGTGAGAGCAGATATATTTGAAAAAATTTCTGTATGAAGAATTTTTTCAAGGAAGGGCATGTCTTGCTCGGACAATGTTAGAGTCGTATAATCATTGTTCAATGAAAGGCATACATTTTCAAGTGCATAATCGATTGCCTGTACTTGCTCATCATCAGCAGGCAGTTGTAAAAGAATGACTGCATCGATTCCCCAATTAATAAACACAATAACATGAGTAGCAAGTGTATCCGGTTTTCGCGATTTGGCTTTGCTGAATCCAGTGAATTCATCATCTTCGAAGTATTCTGTGCGACTATAATAGTTGTAGAGAAGAAAGCGGGTATACTTATCGATTGGACGAGAATAGTTGATTAATGCACCAATTCCATTTGCTGGTGTCATTTGTAAAGCAACGCTCAATCGTAGATCATAATGCATATGAAAGAATTCTAAGAGATTACCAGATTATTACCGTACATAATGGACATCAGTTAATGTGCAGCTCTGTGTTCAAGTATTTGTAACTATTCACACGGCGACAAATGAATATTTTCAATATCAAACACATGAGTCAGCATATATTGTTGTTCTTGTTAAAATATGTATGCACGTATTTTGGTAGCGTTGTCCATTTTTACCCATGGGAATATATTACGAACATACTTGATAGATATTCTCTTTCACCTCCATTGTATCGTTTCATACAGCATACTGGTTTTTGCCGTGAACTAGCCGATCGTGCAGCGAAATCCATATTCGTGCTGGGAAGTATTCGATCAGAATATGCATCATAGAGTGAACCGAGGCGTCCAGATGAGTCAAGGGCTCTCCGTGGTGTGAAACGACCTGATTTCCCAGCGGCTATTGGAGTTAAACTTGGATCGCATGTAGGTAAAAAATCTCGTTCTGCAGCCATTGGATAAATAGGTAAGTTGTTCTCTAGAATTATTAAAATACGAATAAGATCAAAATTCTTACAAGACCGATGCAGTGTCAATAAACTCGTATAACAAAGTTACATAAGTAAGATTCGAAATGAAAGCAATGTTAATAATATTTACAAAATTTTCATATCTCTACATAAATATTAAAAAAAAATATAAATTCGAAATCTTATATGCTGAATGAGAAAAATGCACACTTTTGAAATGCAGTAGATAAAACTGTTTTTATATGCTGGGACGTGGAAACTGTCTACATGGACGTATGGTCGATAAAATTGCTTGTGTTGTTTTACAATAGCATTTTAGCTTTCGACCTTCGGTTGTGTTTTTTTTGTGAGAGCATGTCGTCAAAACGCACTTTTTTCCAAATTGATGGCGACATTCTTTTGCGAATGCGTAAACAAGTTTGAAATGGTTAGGAAGAAAGAGAATGCTGCATTAATGTAGCTCTGTCTGAGCTGGCAGAAAAAGAAAAAAAAAGAAGTTTTTCTTTGTGCTTCTCGGGGGAGGACATTTTGTCGTCGGTATATAGATGAAATACAATAGAAAAGGGCGCAGAATATAGACAAATACATAGACTTATCTTTGTATGTAAAGAGTTCTGAGAATAAGTATTGATATTCGTTTTAGATAGCTATCGCATGATCCAAACTGCCAAGCAATGACGCACCCATGATTATTTTTTGTTAATTGCTATGAACATCCGCACTTTGAGTGTGCTTTTTTAACTCAAACAATTAGCGGCCGATTAGTTTCTTTCTATTTGGCATGAAAGAGAAGTTTACTTGTGAACATAAGAATGTAAAAAGTAATCCAACATCAGTTTTATAAGAATTAGCAGTCAAGCTTTCAACACTGAAATAAAAACATTGAGATTTTATTGATAAATGATTTCGGATGTTGGGTGCAATCAAATAGGTAATGAACTAGAAAAATGATTCAGAATAGATCAACAACTGAAATTGATCATCTTTACCATCGACTTGTCAAAGAAAACTATATTTACTAATACAAATTTCTATGGTCTATCAAAAATATTGAATTCCTCATTAAATTAGTATGGGACTAGCATAAATGAAGTAGGATCAATGCAAGATTGAAATACTGAGAATGTTGATTGTGTATTTCAAGAACTGTATATATCTAACATTCACTCATTATGCAGGCAAAGTAGCTGATTTAATAAAAATCAGTAGCAGCACGAAAAATGGGGATATCATTAATTTATGCTCTCCTGACAGCTGCTAAAGTGCATGTGTTTATTACTGATATATTACCTAGCTGGCACAACGAATAAAAGTCAGTAGTCAATCTTTAGAAAATTTTGACTGTAGATTTCTGTCACTCGCTGATCAAACCTCCAAACAATGATGTTCTTTTTTTACTATCGTGGAAAACATTACAAGAAACAAAAATGCTTATGCAAGATATTCTACGTTCAGATTACTGCAACATGTTGACTTTGTTATCATACGTATGGGCATTAAAAATTACATATGGTGTATGCATTTATTCTTATAACGTGCAGTCTTTAACACCAACGAATTTGTCAACATATTAAATTCATACGAATATTGTCTATAGTCTTTTCATAGAAAAAAAAATACGGATACTTCCTACAGTGACTCTCCATCACTTAACGACAGGTTGATGCGAAATCAAACGTTTAAAAATTTCGCATTAGAACTACTTAAATGTAATCATTCATAGCTTTGTAAAAAAAATATGGAAGAGCCCTTAGTCTTACAAAGAAAGATTCTCAACTTTGTCCCTGAATTTCTTCGTAAAAAGTACATAGTTTTATATTTTTGATTACTTATCATGTATATAAAATTTTCTAAAGAACCATGTAACTTCTTCCTCAGAGATTTGATTTAATCAAAGTAATGAGTTGTTTTGTAAAGAGAGCCGTAGTCTAAAAACTAACTGACGCCGTTCTTTTTTATTAAAAAAACGGAGGGAAAACAGACAGTAGGAATGTTTGATGTTGCTACCAATACTTTTCAATGAAATATTCAGCATTACACACCTCAGAAATAACGTAATATGGTGAGCCTGATACCAATAGGTTTATTCTAAAGAGCTGATTATAAAATCGAAAAATCAAAATTACTGTGAACACACTAAGGCAGATATAACTACTCGTAAGGAATGGATTTATCTAATAAATAAATAAAAAAACATTTTTACTATATTCAAGGTATCAGCTTCTGTTATTTTGATCATATGAAATCTTGGTGATTGTTTTTGTCAACTTTTTAAACTAACTAATAAAAAAGAGAAGACCACCAGTCATTTTTTAGATCTCTTCTCTCTTCACAAAATGCCATATAACTCTAATTTAATAAATATCTCTGAAGTCACTTAGTTCTTTGAAAATAGTATATCGGTTAATGTTTGTATATTGAGATCAAAGCATCTGACTTGACAAAACCACGAACTGTTTACGAGGAATCGTGAGAACACATCGATGGATTTTTCCTTGCCAGACAGCATTGTTGATTTAGGGCCAAAGAGCATCACAGGATGGTCCTTTGTCGTCCTAAACGACAAATCTTGCAGGACGATCTTTTCATTGCATTTTGCACAAGAACAAAAACTTACATGAATATGGGGTACGATGTAAAATATCATAGAAGTACTATTTATATAAAAATTATTTACAAGAAACTATGTTGACAAACCTTACCAAATGTTTTTTCAGCAGAAATGAAATAAACCTTAACATTCGTAAGATTAACAACAGAATAAGAGAATAAAGATAAGGATACGTTCTTTTTTTACCACTTGTTCTTGAGTTTCTCATATAAACGAATAAATAATATGCTATCAATGTTACTTGATGATAAACATCAACGTCATTGAGTGAATATCAATGAAGCTGATATTAATAATCTTTCTATCCAAGGAATGATCACTAGAGTGGCATGTACTCCTCTGGCTACTATTAATAATAATGGAAGATCATCATGTGTTTTCCTATTAGATCAGAGCTTCGTTGAATCACGATCATTAGCTGACTTGAATGTCTTACAGATCCTGTGTGTCCTCGAATAGTAGCAAATAATCAAACAATTATTTTATTTATGATTTCTCGACATCTTTCGTATTTTACAATAAAATATAAAACTATGACGAAGATAATGTTAAAAAACTAATATGAAATAGAAGGGATTGATTACATTTTACAAAAAAAAGTCGTTTCAAAGAAAATTTGTAGTAAAAGTATATGTTTGTGATTAATTCACGCTTGAATACTATGTGATAAAAGTTTTTGATAGTAAGGTAAAACCTCATCATATAATGCAACATATTTACGTGGAATATCATTTCGAGTTAGTTTTGTTGAAGGTGGTGGACTAAATCCAGTTGATTTATGAACTTCGCTATACCAAGCTGAAGCCCAAACACCATCTATTGATTTTGGACCAACTGGCCATGATAACATTTCATCTGTGTATGGTATATTTACTTGCCTACATGTTTCTATTAAAATTGATCTTGGATTTTTTCTTAGTTCATTACCATTAATAACTATTGGATCTTCTCTTGTCTTTTCTTTAAACCAATCATATATTTTAACTTGATGTTCTAAACAAAGATCTTCTGCAGTTATATATGGATCTACTTTTATATGTGACATAATAACTTCAACAGGATCACGTATAAGAAATACAGGACAATAATTTAATATACGATCTTTATTCATATCTTCTACTGTATTAGCCATATTTTTCACAAAAACATTTCCTTTTATATTTTCATTTTCTTCGATTCTATCATGTATATTATTTGCATTACCATTATATTGTAGAGTTAACATGATTTCATCATAATGTGGTTGTATTTTACCAATTCTTTTTAGCCAAAGTCCATAAAATGGTTCATCAATAACAACAGTATCAGGACGTTGATTGAATGAATACATAAGAGCTGTGGAACAATTTCGTGGACCAGAAATAAGATAAATGATCATGATAATGTTCAAATATTGTTTTACACTTGATAAAAGAGTAATAAAATTGAATAAAAGCTAGTTCAAAGTTTGAGTAGTTTGTCTAGAAAGAAAAAAAAACACATATCATTTTTATTAAACTATTATACTGTACGGACTAAGAAGATCTACGATAGAAAACGTTGATTTACAGATTTTCTGATCTCTAAAGGAAAAGTACGTTTTTAAGAGAAGAATAGGTACTGTAGTGATATTAAGGTGTAGTGGAAATGTGAATCACTATAAAAGACACGCAGTGCTATAACATCTAGATCATACAAAGAGAAATGAAATTTTGATAGAATTCTACTAAAGATTCTTCTGTAGCTTAGAAGAGCCTTGAAATCACGTTGATACATTTAATACGAGAATAAATAGTGACTGTCATGCAAATAAGAATGTTACGCTACAATGATGTTTGAAGCTTTAATAAGAGTACAGTCATTTAGAACAGCATTATTCTATCTAGAGTCGTCTATTAAAAATAAAAAGTAGAGATACACTAACAAAAAATTAAGAAAAGATTAAGAACTGTTTTTCTAACAAGTATCCAACACAAAATATTTTTCTATAATCTGCTTATATTAGCAATGTGTATGTATGCATTTTTCCATCTCAATCTGTGTATATCATGGTATACAACAAAGAAGTTCTTTTCAATAAGTGCGTTAAAAAGAACCCTATTTTGTTGTTTGATAAACAATGTGTATTGCGTACACTCTGTTGCATGAATAGGATGTGAAAAAAAATGAGAAAATCAGGAATTGTCGATGGTCTATACAGTTTACTTCGATTTTGTTATACTTACTATTAGAAATATTCATTAAAAAGATGGATAGTACTATGTAAAATATAAATCAGTATCGATACACGAGCGTCTCAGAAGCTGATCTAGATTTTCATAAGAACGATATATTTTCAGTCAATAAAGTATACCATTGCGTAGTATATACAGGGTGGATCATAAATAACACGGTCATAAAAAATACAAAGATCTCCGCTTCGGCTCAATCAAATGGACTGATTTTTTGTATAGTGGTAGACCTTTCTTCAAAAGTTTTTTTTTTCATACGACCAATGTGAACAAATACTTCAATAACGAAATTTTACCTGTTGTCAAATAAGAAAAGAACCTATGAAGTTTTACATAGGTATTTTTCAATAGGTACCTAGGAGAATAATAAAAAGAATTGAAAACAAACTTTATGAATGGTACAACATTGATGAAAATAAAGTAAATTTCTCGAAATAGTTAGGTTAATGCACAATTAAAGCTCTTTGAGCATTCAATCACCAACTTTATTGCAAAAACTAGTGTATCATGCCTGAAAATTCGAAATATCGTAACTATTGACTTTTAAACTAACTATTTCGAAAAATTTTCTTTATTTGCATCAATGTTGTATCATTCATAAAGTTTGTTTTCAATTCTTTTTATTATTCTCCTAGGTACCTATTGAAAAATACCTGTGTAAAAGTTCACATATACTTTTCTTACTTGATAACAGGTAAAATTTCGTTATTGATCTCAATAATAATACTTATCAGAAGTATTTGTTTACATTGCTCGTATGAAACAAATCAGCCCATTTGATTGAGCCAAAGCGGAGATCTTTGCATTTTTTATCGTCATGTTATTTATGGCTCACCTTATATATATATATAATAAAAAAAGACGTAATCATGTGTCATGTAAAAATGAATCATTAAAGTGAATCGATCAATTAGAGTGTTAGTAATTTGAAAGTAATCTATGAATATTAACCTCGTGGTGGTCTCTTATTGTGATTTGCATCATTCTTTACATACATATGCAAGTTATGCTTGAATGATATAGTCTTATTTTCATGATTTAGTACATATTTTATGCACAAAGTATGAAACAAAACAAAATGACAGATTGACGTTGCATCACTTATTTGATTAAAAGTACATTTAATACTGACAAGATTAACATTTATACTAGATGATCGCAAATATTTTTCTTTGTTCTATCCTTTGTTGATATTTTAAGTAAAAAAATTTTTCGAGTTTTGAAGAACATTTTGTGTTCTATTTTTCACTTTATTTAAGTTAAATTTCTCTACAACATAAAAAAGTCAAATACATTAAACAAATTTGACTCATTATGACTGACAGATATGTTTTTGTTTATTATGAATGATTAAGGTATCCAAAACACTTGCACATGATATAAAACATCTGAAATAATTGTTGGTTTTGGATTGAGATACCATACAAATGAAAATTTATCATTGTTAGAACCTAATAATTGTCGAAGAGCTTCTTCAATACTTGAATTAATTTCATTATCAGTTATAGGTGAATGTGTTGTTGAATCAATAGATTCATTTCCATTTAAAAGAAACCAAATAACATAATGATTTGTGCCAGATGGAACTTGATAAGAGAATAAATTAGGAACGAGCCGAAATTCATGAGTTTTAGAATGTTGTTTCATAGCGATTCGAGCAGAAGAAATTTCTGTATCGGAAACATGCATTCTTGAATTATTCCAATCACCTTGTAGAATATATTTCAAACCAAAAAATCGATGTAGCACAAAATCTTGAAGACTAACATAGCGAGTTAACATGTTTGTGATGTAATTGTTTTTTTTTTCTTTGATCTCAGAATTAGGTCGAATACTTTCAGCTCCTGGTATCCAACCATATTTAAGATGTAATTCTTGCATTGTCTCTGTATTTGGTGATATTTTTTGACGAATCATCTAAAGTATATGATTAATCAAGGATGTAAAGATTATATAGTAAAATATTTTTAGCAAAAAAAAATTGGAAAATTTTCGAAAAATTAAACTAATAAATCTAAACAAAATACTCAGTTCAAAGAGTCCGTTCTTTTTCGATATTGATAATTTTCTTTAATAAATTGTTATCATTAAAAAATTTATAATGTAATAATCAATGGAAATTTTTTATGTAAGAAGTAAAATGAAGGTTTAATATAAGATCTATTGAAAGCATGTACAATCATTATGAGAAATTTGTTTGATTTTAAGTGAAAGAATCCTAATTTGTACCATGTGTATGTATGTCACAAGTAACTGGGATGATTGTGCAATTTCATTTCAAGAAAAACATACATAATATGACAAAAGCAAAATTCTTTCGTATTTTACAAGCAGAACGGGAAGAAAAAGTGTTTTTTTTTCTTTCTTTCCTCGAAGCATTCACGTGGTAATGAATAAAAATTCGTATTGGACTTTTTCTATCTTATTTTACATCTGATGTTTTCATAAATTTACGATAGATTTTCAAGTTTCGAAGAAATTATAAAATATGAAGTTATGACTTAGATGAGTCATCTGACTATGACGTCAGAAAAAAAACGAAGATATTTTGATATAAGGAGAACTATATATAATATCAACGTAAAACAATATGATTTTTGTTGTCTTATTCACAAAACTACGCATAAAGTTGAAATTGATTCATCTCATTGATTTTGGTGTTAGTACATTTTCTGTTAAAAAAAAACATAATTTTTGAAAAAAATATTATTCTTCTCTCGCATCTCTATTTAATAATTCTAAACGGACAAATAATTCAAAGGTAACACACGTATAAAAGTAACCGTCAGTAACTGAAGAGACAATTATATGGCGCTGAAAAATTGCTAATAATTACACAAAATAGGTTGCAGGAAAACAATTCATAAAATAACAGAATTTTTTGTTTTTTGCTTACAATGTATTTTTCGAGTACAAAGATATGTTAGACCAAGTGTTCTTGGTCTCGTTAACTTTTTAGTGCTAGAACAATTCATTGTGGTTATCAGTTTGAATGTAGATCTTTCGTATACTCTCACACATCGACACATCAAATGATTTGTTTAAACCCAATGCGAAAATAAGTAGTAGAAGTAAACGAATTTAATTCTTACTCCTATCTAAAAATTTCATAAATCTATATTTGGTTTACTTATTCTGAATATCATCAACTGTTAATGCGACATCGTTGAAAATAATACGATGTTCAGCTTTAAAAGTAAAAGCAATGCGTTAAGCTAACTCTACCCGATATTAAAATTGGCGAAGACAATCAATGGTAGGATGGTGCTTGAATTAGTACATACTTGCTTATATCACTAAATTGTTATTCATAGGAAAATTTTATTTATACAATCGCTTCCTATCAAACATATTTCATTAAGAACGGGCAAATTATTATAAGTTCGTAGATATTTATATGTATGTTTATGCAAGATACTAATGTTTTAATGTTATGTAATTCCAAAAAAAATGTATAAATGCTTTTCAATAAAAGAATTTCGAATAAAGCTCATCCTCTTTAATAGAATAAAATTTCTCTGTATTTGTTTTAAATAATAATAATAATAAACGAAGACAGATTTTGTATTGACTAATTTAAATAACTTACATAAGACTTACGGTAAAAGAAAAAGATAAGTACGAACTATTTGTATTCTCAACTAGTGGTAATTTTGTGTTGAAATATATTGTTTTAGTATTTTCTTCGATTATGGTAAGAACTTTGTTTATTTATTCTGTTCATTCTTCTGCGCAAACAAGAAAATAACAGTTTACAGAAATTATATGTATTTGACAAAAAAAAAATAAAAAGAAAGAAAAGGTCTATCGATCATAGAATACCTACACACTTATTGGTTATTAAATTAATTTTGTATCTATAATTAAAAATAATGAAATGAAAAAAAGAACTAGTCCATAAATGGCATAGTACTGTATGTTAGGTTGAATCTTCATCGATATTTCATTACTCAATCTTGTTTTATTTTCTTTATCTAGGCAAAGAAGTGAAAAAACAAACAAACTGAAAATCGCAAAAGAAACAAACCATTGATAATTATTTGTTGTCAGCAAATAGTGTTCTAATAAAAACCGAAAAAGGACTTGAATTTCTATTGAAATTTGACTTGGCTATCGAATTTTTAATGCATCGACTTTTTTAGACGCCCTAAATTTTCGAATTGTATATAGAGAACTCAACTGGACTATATAGTTTCAATAAAAAAAAAATCTGAAGTTTTGAATAAAGTGTCTTCGATAATCAAAACTTTCAACATATCGAAGATAAAATGAATTTAATAACGACAGAATTTTAAAGAACTAGACAAAACCATTTAGTTAAAAGTTTATTGATAACGTTGCAAGCAGAATTGTAGTTTCAACATCTTGTTCTAGTAATATTTTTTTTCTAAAAGTAATTCATTGATATATATCAATTCAAAATAGTCAAAAATATAATTTTGAATATATTTCACCAATGAAAAAGAATAACTCGAATTACAAAGCGAAACTGTTTTGACATTTGAAGTAATGATTTGAATATGAATCTTTTGTATCTGTAGCAGTTTTGTATTTAAGATATAGCCTCTATTCATTCGTTGTTGTCACATAGCAAATTATTCATCAACCTCTTAGTAAACAGCCTAATGTTCAGCCTCTTCGTGATTTGACATCTATATTAATGCCGCTGATTCCATAATAACAACGAACACGATGAAAAGAAAGAATACTTTATTGTGCGACAGGAATAATTAATTGTTCAAGTTTCCGTAGTGCATTCTATTCAAATCTTTATTTGCACCCTACAAAGCAATTTTCTAAGATAATGATAGATAACGGTAAAGATAATTCAAATCGTCGATTGTCAAACAATAATGTATACAGAATATTTATTGAAAACTCGGAAATATATTCATAAGATGGAACAACGATATAATTTATCGACAGATGAATCTGCTTGTTATTCAGGAGAATGTGTTATGAATAGATTTCGCGCATCAACTTTTAAATTAAATTATTCTAAAATTCCTATCGAATTATGTATAACAAAAATAATTCTACAACATACTGAATAAAATTTGAAACAGAAAGATCGAATAATCACCCATGTCGTGAGAATCACTGCGATTTTCGCGATTTTCTAAAAAATTGGCGTAAAATCGTGTTTTATCGTATTTCTTTAAAAGATCGACGATTATATCAGATTTTATCGCGATTATGGGAGAAGAGCTGATTTTCAAAAATCATTGATAAATCATGACAATTATTCATTCACCGTTTTGTTATGAACACACACGGATATATAAGCAACGCCGTTCAATGCATAACAAATAAGTTTTCGAAATATACTTTTCTGATAAATTATTTCTTGGTTATTTTTAATCAAAAAAATGCCAATCCTGATCTATGATCTGGAGAGGACTACACTGAAGCGGTCTGATAAGAATCAGACCAGCTCGAAATTGGACAGATCGAGCGATCTGGTCGGCTTGGATCTTGAGGAAAAAAAATTGAATTAAATTCAAGAAAAAATCCAAATATGTGTCTCCCAAAGAACCAATGAAATAGTAGAAAATATCAGTAAACAGACGGTTAAATCTTGCATAAAATCACGATTTATCGTAAAAATCGCCGAAATAATCGGGAATAATCGGCGATTTTATCGCGATTCAGCTCACGATTATCGTTTCGATGAATCGGGATTAATCGGCAATTTTTAGCCGATTCAAAGGACATGGGATCACATTTTATGAACTTAAAGAAAATATGAGCAAACGTTGAAGTTGTGATTTTAGTTTAGAAGATATGTTCAATGTCGATTCCTCCAGACAGTGTATAAAAGTCTTTCCGAACTAATACTAGAACTAATTGATAATTTTCCAGCAACGGAAGTCGAATCAAAGAACAATTCGAATAGGAAGAAGACGAATGTCCCATTTTTCAACTACCTAGTGACAGATTAAACAGCCAATATTTTTCCTACAATTAGTACTAGTCATAGCTCTGAACAGAAAACTAGCATGAGCTCCCCATACACAGTACACCATAGCCACTCAACCATAACGAACAGCTCGATAGAAATGTGCTCAATTCATACAATTCGAAGGAGAAATAACGTTATTCATCTTTTGGTAGCAGTAATGTATTAAAATGATAGAAGATAAGATAAATATCATAAGTATGGTTTGATCTTCAATTTACAAAAATGTAATATATTGAAACCATATCTTACCGAAGACGATTTAGATGATATCCTAAAACATTTTTGTATGTATTCAGAACAGACAAAAACTCGCAATGTGAAAATATATCTTTTAAAACTATTGATGTGAACAGGTTTAGTGTGCAATAAAACTATATTCATTTTCATTGATCTAAAATTTCTTTAAGAGTTTACTAACATCTGAAATGACAATGAAGGAAAGTGTTCATGATTAATAACGAGAGTATTAAAAAATTCCAGCTGAAAATTTACTTCTCTAAGATAAATTGACAGATAAATAGTTTCTCTGTAGCCTTAGGAGACTTCCTTCCTAAAAATTTTCCGCCTTCAAAGCAGAATCCTATGAAATCGATCGAATTTATATTATCTATATAAATAACTGTACGAGTCAACGAAAACAAAATCTTCTATTTTTTCATAATTTATTTATTTATTTCTAAATATCAAATAAAAATCACATGGGATAGTTCGCAGGTGTATAAAAGAAAGTAGCAGTTCCATTCGTTGTTGTTGGTTGTTGTGTTGTATGCATAAGAGGAGTATAAACAAATGTTGGTTGTGCTGGTTGCATTTGAATAAATGGAATTTGTGGCTGTAACATCATTGTTGTAGTAGGTATTGTTGAACTAGTAGCACCGGTGATACTTGTTTTCGATTGATTATTATTATTTGTATTTGTATTTGTAGCTCGAATTAATGATGGTGAATTTTGTACTTGTTGTTGTTGTTGTTGTTGTTGTTGCTGTTGAGGAGTAGGAAATGTAAATGGTGAATACATAAATGGATTAGCAAAAAATTGTGCTTGATGTGTAGCTAATAAAGCTGGATTGATCATTGATGCTTGTTGTTGTTGTTGTTGTTGTTGTTGGATAGTTGAATTATTATTTGATGGTACAACTTTAAGCATTTGTTGTTCATCAGCATTTGTTTCAAATGATCTAACTTCAGGTTTATCATCAAATGTTACATTTCGATGTTTACGTAATGTTTGAGGATGTCCTTTTAATACTGCTACATCATAATGTCCATCTCCTGTATGTGGATGACTTGCAATAAGTACAATAGCTAAACCTGGTCGAGCAATACCACGCATTGGTAAAAATATTTCCAATGGATTATTTGGTTCACGTACAACTCGAACAATATGTATTGGTATAGTAAGTGCTGTAGCTAATGCTTGATTAACTAAAGCACACATATCCGAACGATAATAATCTTCTGAACGAAAACGTTCTATTTCACGTGTTAAATCTAATGTTGCTCGTTGTTGTTGTTGTTGCTGTTGTTGTTGTTGTTGTTGTTGTTGTGTAGCATTACGCTGAGCAAATAATGTTCGATATTCATCTGGAGTTTTGGACCATTCTCTTAAACATAATTTTCTTAAATGACGTATCATACGAGAATCATTTGGTCCATTTAAATGTAATATACGACATATATATTCACTGAACCAATCATTTATTTCAATAATAAGTAATATTGATTTGGCAATAGCTTTAAAATGATTATGTCCTGTTGATTGTATTTCAAGCATATCATAACCAAGTCGATCAAGGTTTTCCATTAATGTTAATGCATATAAACCACGTTCTTTTTTTTCTTTTTTTGGATTATTCACATATTCATCAAGTAAATAAAGTAGACGTTCCCATTCTTTTGATATTAAATCTTCTTGTTTAAGAACTTTCATAAGAATATGACGATCACGTTGAGCTATATTATGACCAAGAACTTCAAGTACAGCATCTTTATCAATTAAAAATGATTGACGATCATTAGTATTTATAGTTGTCGAAGGTAATTTTGTTGGCGATGTTTTACGTTCTTGTTGTCGTAATGAAGATAATGATGTTGATGATGTTGATTGTTTATTATTTGTTCGATCATTAACAAATAGTTGAAGTTGTTTTCGATCTTGTTGAACAATATCTGATGTTGATAAATAAATATCATCATCACGATTTAAATCATCTCGTTGACGATCATTCTCATAGATATCCTCATCAGGTTTTGTATGACTTTGTTGTTGTTGTTGTCGTTTCAATGCTTCGCGATCATAATGATAAGATGTCGATTTTTTGGGTTGATTATCATGTGACGATTTATTTGAGGTTTTTGTTGCTGTTACTGTTGCTGTTGGTGTTATTGTTGTCGTTGTTGTTGTCGTTGTCGTTGGTTTTTTCTTTCTTTCTTTGAGAATAACCGCTTGTAAATCATCCGTAGCTTCATCACTAAATGAATCATCATCATCATCATCATTATTATTTTCTTCATCAGCAGTAGTACTATCATCAACATCTTCAATAGTAACACCATTAAATATTTTTTGATTAACTATTGTTTTCGTTGTGCCCATTTTTGTTAATGTTGTTTGCCGATCTTTGTAAGGAACAGGACGTAATTGACGTTTGTTTGATGACGAAGGTTGCTAAAAAGAAAAAAAAAACAGAATGAGGAAAAAAATATATTACGATTTATATTTATCTATATATATATATATGTAAAGACACGCATCAATGAGCAAATATTACAGAAGTTTTAGTTGAAGTGGTTATTATTGCTGATGATGTTGATGATCGACGTGGTACTGGTGTTGGTAAAGAAGTTTTTGTATTTTCATATGTTACGTCAGGTGTTTGATTGTTTGTTTGACGTGTATCTTCTTGTTGACGAAGAATATGTTCGGCTAAAGGAGCTTGTCGTTTGGTACCTGATGACTTTTGTTCATTAGGTGATGTTGGTATTGTTCGTTCATTTGTACTATTACTTGATCGTTGTTGTGTATTATGAATAGAAGTTTGTTTTTTCGGTATATTTCCATAATTATCAACTAATTTATTAACAGCTGTAACAAATTTATCTTTTGTTTTACTAAAAAATGTATTTGCTGATGTCGATTTATTTCTTGTATCTGACACTGGTGTATGATCAATAGTTTCATAAATTGGATCAGTATGATTGTCAGATTCTTTTCGAATGAATAAATGATCTAATGGATCTAAATATTAGAAGAAAAAAAAAAGCACAACATAGTCATATTTATTTATTAAATTATAGTTGTTATTAATTTACACGTTGTACGAGCGCTTGTAAAACGTTGTGTAGATTCATTTTTAATTAAAACAATAAGTTTATCATTATCATTCGAACGATTATTATTATCAATATCAATCATTTCTGGTTGTTGTTCTAAAGATGATGATGAAAAAATTAATAAATTACATTGTAGAACATGAGCTAATGCAAATAATATTGGTCGCTCTAATTGATATCGATAATAATTTGATTCAATAAGCCATTGACTATCATGACGTATATCAATATGATTAGATTTTTTTGATATAGATGGAAGAATATATTTTTCATAGTGATCAAAATTTGATTTTATTTGTTGATAAGTAGCATCACGAATTTGCATAGCTAATGCTGATGTATCAAGAAAATCTACAGCATTAGATTTTAATATATGAGCAATACATAAAAATAGTGATAAACAACGAGGATTTGGCGTTGATATAATTGTTGGTATTAAAGTATATTTTTGAATAAGATGATCAATTTTTTGTTGATGTTCTAATAAATCATCACGTTTAACATTTGCTAAATATAGATAGAAATAAAAAAAAAACAAAACAAAACAATAATTTTTTTGTTTCAAGAATTCTTACCTGGTTTATCAAGCATAAAAAATTGTTTTGATACATCATTATATGCAATATATAATGGTTGTATTTCTAATAAATCATTTGGTATAACAGATATAATTTCTTCATAGATATATGATGTAACAAGACGTATTTCAATTCCAAGTATATTGGTTAATATTTGTAATGTTCGTCCATGTGAACAAGTTTCTAAATAAACTGATGATGCACCATTTGATACATCAATACCACATATGGTTATAATAGAATTTTTTTCTTCATTATGTAATATTTGCAATTGAGCACGAACATGATGTGCCATATTAGGAATACTAGGTGTATCAAGATGTAATTGTTTAAAAATTTTTATTTTATATCGTTCATTATATTCCCAATAAGGTAATAATGTTCGTGCAACAGCATCGTATACATCAATAGCTGTACCATAGTTATGTAGTTGATGTTTAATAATACGATCATTCAATCGAGTTGTATGTGATTGTAGATCAGTTTTATCATAAGAATCTCTTGGACGTTTTTTAATCGAATTCATTAATTAATTAATTGAAAAGTAAGTAACCTAAAAAATATTTGCATATATTTCATAGTATTTTGACTGGTCACATGCGTTGTCTTATGAATGCTTCTTTTTTTTTTTCACATGGATTTTTTTTCTCTTCGTCTTCTTTTTCTTTTTTTATATTTCATGTAATCGACCTGTGATGTTGTACACGACGTATTTCACGGTTGTGCACTTTGTGTATATGTCCTATATTTGAAACAAGCAAGCAAGTAAAGAAAAAGAAAAGAAGCAGTGATACGTAACTCAAATGAGGCAAAAGAGTGATGCGATCTTTACAATATTTTTGCTTAATCAAGAAGTTTGTTGTCCTATGTTCATATCAATCAAAATATATGTTCATCATTTGAATTTATAATGAGTTATATTTTTTGATTCGTTAAAACTGTAGAATTACTCTTTTTATAGTATTTGTATTGATATGAAGATCTTGAATTTTTTTTTAATCGTAATATTATAATCATTTATCATAGTTCATATTAATCCTTGATAAAATTTTATGGATTTACTTTTTCTGATTTATTTATTAAATTGAAAAGAAGAGACAGATATATTTATTGTTTTTTATTCGTTCGTTTCATTCATCATCTGTATATTGAATATGACATATACCGGATACTTGTTCTAATCGGTCATAAATAATTGTAACAAGTTAAAAATATTTTTTTTTTTCTATTTTAAGCTTATTAGTTGCATATAAAAGATCATTAGTTCGAAGAAGAAAATTGTTTTATTGATTAATAGTCATAAAGAAAAAAAACAAGAAAATCTTCTTTTTTAATTATTGTTAAACAATAAAGAAATAGATTGTCTAAAACTATATAGCTTATACATCAACTGACAAAACAAGTGAATAAATGAATGCAGAAATACAATGACACCTTTTTTTTTTGTCTATTATTTAATCTATAGTATATGCATATGATTGACAAGAAAATATAATATGTCGAATAGGAGGAATATGCTAAGTTTTTCATTTCTACAACGAGCATGACGAAAAGAAGAATGAGAAAGGATTTCCTTTTTATGTATTATTAATAATAATGAAAAGACTGAATAGACTTAATGATGAAAGAAAGAACGATATTTTAACTTGAGCTGCTTGATTGCATTTATTACTTGTGCAACATGTTATACTATCGAATGAATTCGATTGATCATCAACGGGCACTGTACATTGTCCTTTCGATGTTGAACAACCACGACGTGTTAGTCGAGTAACATTATTTATGCGTTTATATATTTTCTATAGAACAACAAAAAGCAAAATAAATATCATAGTAAACATATTAAAATCGACTTACATAGCACATATTTATGTCTATTTCACAAACGCGCCTGACAACTTCAGATTTTGCTAAATGACAATTTGTACATTCCTGACAAGAAAATTGTTCGGGTGCTGGAGTTGCTGTGGTACTAGCTTCCATATTTACGCCATCATTAGCTGCTAAATTATTTGTTTCATTATTAACTTGTTCGGGAGGACTATCAACAATAGAAAGACCAACTTTAGCATCTTCTATCGGTGGTTCAATATCGGCTAAAGAATTGCTTGGATCTTCACAATAAATAATACCGATACATAAATACCCTATTTTTCGAATAAGAAATATAAGAAATCAATAAATTTATCAATATTATTTTTATACATACCGATTGATCCAATAAGCCACCAAACAAACATATCGCTAAAAGAATTAAAATATCTTTCCTTATGTTGTTAATAAATCTACAGAAGCTCAAGTAGCTATTGGGTTTAATGGTTTTCTTCTGATAACTAGATGCAGAAAATGCGAAATAATAGAGAAACAACTGACGTCTCTGCTTTTGGCTATTGCAACTATTTGTCAAGTTCCTCCTCTATTTTCCTTACGTTCAGTGTTTTTTTTCTTTCTTCGTTCTTTTTTCTCGTTTGTCTAGCTATATATTCTTATTTGTTGTTAGACCAAAATAATCAAACAATGATGAGAACGACAGCAACCACAATCCTTACAAAATGCGAGTGTTACAGAGAGAAAGGGTTGGAAAATAGAAGAAACTCTCTTGGCGAAGCGAACATACCATATTTTTGGAACAAAATAATAGTCTGTCTTTTTTTTCTCATTTTCTTCTCATGCAAGTTATGAAAGACGAACGCAGCTGAGTTTTTATGCTATTTTTTTCTTCTTTTTATCTACTCTATTCAAGCACGTCATATGTGCGCGCTGTTCATTCATCAAAAGACACATCGTTCTGAAAATTTATAAAAGAAATGAGTTACTCTTGGTCGTTGTTCGACATATATATATATTTGTTCACTTGCTCTTATATTTTATATAGGATGATACACTCTTCTTGACATATAAAATGCAATTTATGGTTAAAAAACATAGAAAAAAAAAGTTCGAACTGTTATCAAATTATAGAGATCAATTTATAAGACATTAATAGATGAACCTTTATTTCGTATAGAAGATGACAAATTGAATTTGTTTGACATCAAATTTATATTATTTTCTATATGACTAAATTGAAAGTTGTTTTTTTTTGAAATAGAAAAAAAAAGTTCTGAAAAATTATTTCAATTTTTATTATGAATGCTAATCCAAGAACATTATCATAAAATATAATCATTCGAATAGTCGGATTCCAGCGCCATCATAATGAATCGATTTAATTACAAAAAGTAACCAATAGAATATTTACATGATCGAATGAATGTTATGACTATGGCTTCACCGAGACAAATTTCTTTCATTCTTTAAATTCTCTTACACTTTTATGATTTTCGATTGAAGATCATTACCACATCAGTCAGCTATAAATCACGACATAAAAAAAAAAAGAAAGATAACATAACCTTCTCTTTTCTTTACATATTAAATAGATTAAAAAAGATCACATGAATAGAATAATATCATAAGGTTTTATTTCTTGCTGACTGTTAACACGAGAGCTTCGTCATTCTCTCTTTAAATATTAACTACTATGGCACTATCTCAACGTCGTGATATTAATGCAGCAGCATCTGCTGCAACTACTGGTGGTCTACGTGGTGTCATTGCGGGTAAAAACAACCACTAACTATTCATAAAGAATAGTAACTTACTCTCTTATTGATTTCCTAGGAGGTGTCACAGGCGCTATTGAAATTTGTATAACATTCCCAACAGAATTTGTGAAAACACAATTACAATTAGATGAAGGCTCAAGTAGACGTGGTGAACCACGAAAATATAATGGTGTTATTGATTGTGTCAAACAAACAGTTAAAAAACGTGGTTTTTTTGGTCTTTATCGTGGTCTTAGTGTACTTTTATATGGATCAATACCTAAGAGTGCTGTTCGGTAAAATCTAAAGTTTAGTTATTGAAAAAAGTTTTAATTATATTTATTGGAAAGATTTGGAGCTTTTGAAGAGCTTAAAAAACATGCAGCTGATGAACGTGGTCAATTAACGTCAAAAACTCGACTTTTATGTGGTTTAGGCGCTGGTGTATGTATTTGGATTTTTATTAAACTAATTTCTTTTATTATTTCTTGTGTTTTTTTTTGTTTTTATTGTAAAGTTAGCTGAAGCTATTTTTGTTGTTACTCCAATGGAAACTGTTAAAGTTAAATTTATCCATGATCAACATTTAGCAAAACCAAATTATCATGGTTTTTTTCATGGCATTCGTGCAATTATACGGTCTGAAGGTTAATATTAATAATCATGCATTGATGTCCATGAATTTATTTGTTATTTTTCTTTTTTTGTACATAAGGTATTCGAGGTACTTATCAAGGTCTAACAGCAACAATGCTGAAACAAGGAACAAATCAAGCTATACGATTTTTTGTTATGGAAACATTAAAAGAACAATATAGAAAATATACAGGAAGAGGACCAAATGATCTTGTTCCAGTAATAACAACTGGTATTATGGGTCTTATTGCTGGTGCAGCTAGTGTTTTTGGTAATACACCACTTGATGTTGTTAAAACACGTATGCAAAGTCTTGAAGCTGCAAAATATAAAAATACATTAGATTGTGCGATTCAAATAATGCGTAATGAAGGACCATTAGCGTATGTTGAAAAATAAAAAAAAAACATCTGAAAATTTGTTTTCATTGAATTATTTTTTTATCTAGATTTTACAAAGGCACAGTACCACGACTTGGCCGAGTTTGTGCTGATGTTTCTATTACATTTATGATCTACGATAGATTTATTGAGTCATTTAATCTCATTTGGCCAAAATAAGATTTTACAAAATCTTATCAAGATTTTTTTTGAACATATCACATTCTAGGGCAAAAATCTAATATTATAACTTTTATTTAATTGGGCTCATTTGTTTCTTACTCTTTTTTTTTATTTATTTAAATTTTGTGTCCATTTTTTGTCATTGTCATGTGTTATTCGTGATATTTTATGTGTTACATATACGGGGAAACTTTTTTCTGTTATTCTCATTGTTAATATAATCAGACTTTTTTTTTTTGAGTAAAACAATTATGAACTTAATGAAGATGAAAATAAACATCCAAGTGATGACCAATGATTTTGATATGAAGAAATATGAATGGAATGTTATCATCAGGATAAGAAAGGTTGAACCTATTTGATTTTAAGATGAATGAATTGAGAAGTGGATAAAAATAAATATGCTCAGTTATTTTTATGAAGAATTTTTGTTCGTCCTATAAGAATCGCTCAAGGGCTTTTTTTGTAAACTACTTCAAATAACGTTTTAATCCTTTACGCCTCAAGCGACTATAGAAGAGTCACTTATGAAATAGACCATTCGAATAATATATTGATGTCTTCGATATACCGGATAAGCCTACTTTTGTTTATTCATTATAGTGATTATTAGGGCAGAACGGCTTGATAAAATTGAATATAAGAAAATACACACGAAACGAGATATGGGCGTTGAGAACAAAACGGACCCTGTCAACCTTGCCCAACCTACATTCATTATCACACACCTACTTACATCCCACTCTCATCATACATCTTGTGTGCTGGTAGAAAAACAATTTTATATTAAAAAAAAAGAAACAAATTTTCCTGTGTTTTCAAACTTATCGATTTTGTAACTCATCGTTTCGAAGGTGAAGCAACATAAAATAAAAAATTTTCTTATTAATTGATTGTTTATGGGGGGTGACTACAAAATATTGTTCTCTATATTTTCTCCCAATGGTTACTCTAGTGACTAAGACGAGGGGAAGCAAAAGATTAATAAAGAATAATGTATATTTATATTTATAATAAAGATTTGAAATAGTGCTGAAATACAACATTTCATGAGTGAATCTTTCCGGTTGTCAAATCACTTTTTAACCGGCACGATATTCATTTGATGATGAATAAGACAGTTAAAGAAGATTTTGTTTTTCAAGCCTTCGTTTTTGTGATATCGAAATTTAAATATGTTTCTCAGCAGAAACTGTGATCATATGAAAAATCAACCTTCGGCTTCAAACTTTGTACGAACGAAATTCTCAATGAGACTTTTTTGTTTGTGCAATCAGTATTTTCTTTCTGAAGATGTCAATATATAAACAAAATTTGCTTTTACTTACGACACAATGTTGAATATCTCAGAATAGGAGATACTAGAAAAGTTACAACTAATTTCATTTAGAATTTTGTTCATGTAAAATTTGAAATTCAAAGGCATTTTTTCATGTGATCATAGCTAATGAACATTGTCTCGGATAAAAAGTGATTTGATATCTGAAGAAATTCTCTCGTCAATAAACTGAAATTTATTGAACAGTATAACTTGATAAACATAGTCAAATGAGTACAATCATAAACATTAGATCAATGTGAGCTGATAAATACAAACAATAAATTATTTGATTCTTTAAAAGAAACGCCTCCGAAGAACTATTATTCTGGGGGAAAACATCTTTTGAATAATAATTGTGTTTGCTTTTCAAGATTTCTAAAGTTAAAAAGACTTAATTAATAGTACTTGACTAGACTCAAGCAGTAATGCATTAGATTTGTTGTTTCTTTTTTTTTTTATTAGAGTATTCATAATACTTAGTCAATCGAATAATAAATAAATTGATATATTTATATACATATGTAAAACTTGATTTCCCCTTCCCTCTATTTATGTTTTCATTGATTAACATAAGAATCAAGCCTTTTTCGAATTTGTTTTTCAAGATTTAATGCTTGTTCTAAATGCGGATGATGAATAGGCAATATTTTTGTTTGAATATTTAATGCTTTTTGTATTTCATGATTTGCTTGTTCATATTCTTGTTTATCAAAATGTATTAACGCAAGATTATAATAAGATATTGCTAAATCTGGATGATCCATAGGTAAAGATTGTTGTCGAATATGAAGTGCTGCTTTATAATTTTGTAATGCTTGTTCATATTCAGTTGGATTACCATCTGAATGATGAGCTAATGTTTGATGAATACGTCCTAAATTATTTAAACTTGTTGCTAAATCAGGATGTGTTGATGGTAAAGATTTTTGTCGTATATGATAAGCTTTTTGTTGATATTTAAGTGCTCGTCTCAAATCACCCATTTCATCATAAAGACAACCCATATTATTATATGTCCATGCTAATCCAAGATCTTCATTTGATGCTTGATGTTTATAAATAGATAAAACACGTTTATATATATGAAGTGCTAAATCATATTGATGTTGTTGATGATAAATAGTACCCATGGATATAAGAATAGATGAGATGAGTTCTGTTGGTATTGGTTCAGTTCTATTTAATGCTTTATCATAATAACTTAATGCTTGATTATAATCACCTTTCTTTTGATAAATATTTCCAATTTTCATTGATATTCGAACAATTTTTTCTGCATTTTGTAATTGATATTCTAATGATTTTTTATAATATTTTAAAGCATTTTTATAATCACATTTCATTTCATATGCAACACCTAAATTATCAAGTGTAAAACCAATTTCTTCTTGATAAAGATTTTTATTATTTCCATTATTATATAAATCTAATGCTTTATTATAATATTCAATTGCTTTATCATAATTATGCTGATCTAAATATAAAAGTCCCATATTATTAAAACAAATAGGTACTCGCATTTTTTGTCCATAGTTTTCATATATGTGTAAAGAACGTTCAAATAAGTCTAATGCTTTTTCATATTCATTTAAATGATGATAGATAAGAGCAACATTATTGCAACTATCGGCAATATGTGGATGACTTGTTGGTAAAAGTTTTTCACGTATATTTAATGCTTTTAAACAATAATCTAATGCTTGATCATATTGTTTCATATAATAAAAAGCTAAACCAATACTATTATAATTTGTTGCCATTGTTGGATGATCAATAGTTGGTAAATATTTTTCATAAAGTTTCATAGCACGAAATAAATATTTTAATGCATTATTATATTCATGTTTATGTGTAAATATAACACCAATAGCATTATTACTATTAGCTAATAATAATTCTGATGTTAATGAATTTTGTTGATAAATGTTAACAACATTCGAATGAAAATTAAGTGCTAAATCATATTGTTTTTGTTCTAAATAAATTAATCCAAGATTATTCAATGTACGTGCAAAATCAAGATAATTCGTTGGATATTCTTGTCGTAGAATATTATAAACAGTTTCAAAATCTTTTAATGCTTCATCATATAAACCTTTATAAAATTTAACACGACCAATATTTGTATATATTGATGCTTTATCATCAATTGTATTTGATGAAAGTAATCTTTCAAAATAAATTTGTGCTTGATGATATTGTCCCATTTCAGTTAATAATAAACCAAATATCAGTAAAACATTACCTTTTTCCATTTCACGTCTATTTGCTTCAATATATTTGTCAACTATATGTCGAGCTTCATTTGTTAAATTCATATGTATAGTCCAAATATTTTTACTATCATTAAAATACACTTCATTAATTTTAAATGCACAACCAATATCAAATAGAACTTCTTCTTCTTCAGGATAAACACTTAATGATGTTATATCAGCAAATACAACATCATCTAAACGTAGATCAGCTTCCACTATAAATAATGTTGGTAAAACATCAACAGAACGTTTAGAAGTTTTTAATGCAAATCCTAATGCTAAATCATAATTACGTGTTGTTGATAAAAAACCATTTGTTGATGTTAATGAACCAACATTGGATTGAAAACGAATTAATTCATCTTTAGTTAATCTTAAACCACGATATAATGTTAATCTTGGTTGATTTATTTCTTTTGTTCGAAATGTTTCATGTTCAACAGCTAAACGTTTACATAAATCTTGAATATAATAACGAAATATATACAATAATTCAATATCTTCAGTTCGTAATGCTTTATTACATAAGCGATAAATAAAACATTGTTTTGTATACCAACGTATTGTATCATCATATGTATATGTTTGAATAAAATCATTAATATTTTTAAGTTCTTCTGTATTTCCACGATAATATTGTTGACATTGTTCAATCATTTCACATTTAGCTTCTTCAGATCTTGGCATACGAAGAAGAACATCTTTAAATAATTGAAACCAAAGAAATGATGCTGATTCTTTTGATAAATCTCTTGTTGTTTTTTGTTTTTCATATAAACTAAATGTTGATAATTGTTTATGTAAATAATCTAATTCATTTCGAATAGATTTTATTAATTGATCTTCATTATCAAATATGCCAACTATTTTTGAAAAATTTTCTGAATCAATAAATTTATTTTTATATTTTAATATATTCATACAAAATATAAATATTGAATCAACTTGTGTTAAATCATGTATTTCGTTCAAACATTGTTCAGCATAATCACCAGATACAATAAGAAATATACGTTCTTTACTTATTGAACGAATATATGTTATACATGGTTCAAGTTCTGTATAAAGTAAAACATAATTAGTTATTTCACGTAATGTTGTTTGTGTTGTATCAATTGTTTTATCTAACCAAATTAATGTTACATCTTCTTTATTTTCGAATACATATGATGCGGATTCTGTAACATCAGTTAAATTTGAAATACGAACATATTTACTATTAGTATTGTTACCCATCGAACATTAATAATGATTTTAAAATGCAACAGAAACATAATTTTACGTATTTTATTTATATTATCTAATCGGTGAATCTGTTTTTCACCGTTGAATAAATGTGAAGGACATTAATACTTTTTTTTCTCTTAATTGTGTCAATCAAAGGACGATGATTGGTAAAGATTAATGCAAATGATAAATTTAGAGAGTATTGAGTATATCCATACAGGTTTGTAAAGTACCTTTCATATTATTATTATTATTATTATCATCTGTAGTCTCTATTTTTGTTGTAGAAAAGAACGTATTTGAATTATATAGTAACCTATCAAGAATATTTTCCTTTTTGTATTTTTCTTTTTCAATCATATCAATTGAAATAAAAATAATAAAATAAAATGCAGTCAAATATATCTTTATTAAATTATTTTATATTTCTTTCCTTGCATAAAATGGTATTTTTTTTTCTTTTATTTCTTGCACTCTTAATTTTATTTTTATTCAATATAGTTAGTTACAAATAAGTAACGATTGAATAAAAATGTTTAATTCTACCAATTACTGTAGAATTGACTAACGCCACGTCTCCACAGTTCTTGATCATCTCTATTAAAATAAACGAAAAAGAAAACACTTTATTTAAAAAAAAACAACAATTTCTATATTTTTATTTCTTACCCTATTCGATCATATTTTTCATTATCGATTGCACGTAAATCTGCACAAAAACAATTTATGCAAATGATTATGAGAAATTTAATTAATACTTACAATTACATAAACGACTTTTTCGAAACATGCATAAATCGATATAATTAATATTACTTAATGATCTTTTATGACGATCGACTGTTTCTGGAAAAACACTACGACATTGAACAACTTCTACAAATACAAACCATGAAAAACAAAAAAAGAAAAATATTTTCTTCTTCGTTCAAAGAAAAACTTAATAAAAACTTACGAAATAAAAGCAGTAGTGAAACAAGAAGTACAAATACCAAACGAACCAATTCTTGCATATTGAATAATTGTTTTGTATAGAGATGCTACTAATCTTCGTAAACGGACGTAAGGAACTCTAAGATAGGAGAGCAACAATTGTGAAATGAATGACTACTTTCTTCAACTCTTATTCTTCTCTCTCTATCTCTCCTGCCCACTTCTTTTTATCCTCTCAATCGTTCAAAAGTCAACAAAAACAAAAAAAATAAATAAATAAGAAAATAAGAAAATCGAGTTATTAGCAAATATACCTATACATATTACCTATTAGTATTAACTTCAAATCAATTATTTTATCATTACTTGTCAATGAAAGTTATGAACAAATATTAAATAATGAAAATATGTAATGAGATAAAAAGAAAAAAAGCAATCAACTAGTTAAAATAAGTTCTTCTTCTTCTTCTTCTTCTTCTTCTCTCCCTACTCATGCACATATTTCCATTTTTTGTCAAGTGCTAATCAACACGCGCATCCTACATTGTCATAATTGAGATTTTCTTTTCTTCCTACACACATACTATATTTCGATTTGCTGAAAGCAATATATATATTAATATAGACTAGCAAAAGCCTACAAAATGAATGTTAATTAGCTTTTATATTAATCATAAAATATCACATCAATATTCTCATTATTAGTTCAAATAGAAAAAAAAATTCAAATTTTTGATTGTGGCAGATATAATTACTTTATAGAATGACAAAGAAAAAATATGAAATAAATGCTAAATTCTATCCAACTTACCTTGATAAAATATAGTATTACTTATCTAGACGATATATGGGTTATTCTTATTTCAATTAATAATGTCGTCATTATATATTAGTTGTCTTTTTTGTATCCTATAATTGTAAATGTGCTTCCGATTTTGTTTCTTTCGACACAAACAGATCGTCTTAATTTATGCTTCTGTATAGAGCTATAAATTAAATTATTTATATTTGAAAATAAGATATAACAAATGTTTGACATATAGGACATTTATCAACAAGAGAAAAACAATTTTGACATATGCACGCATGTTTACATGGTAATAAAACATGATTAACGCGTTCAGTTAGACAAACAGCACATAAATCTATCGAGACAAAAGCACCTGGTGCATATATATCCTATTCGATGAGAAAAAAAAAAGAAGTTTATTTTCAATAAGTAAAATTGAATATCAAAACTTACTTTTATAACAAGTGTTTTTCCATTAGCTAATTTAGAAATTCGCATTATAAGTTTCGTCGGAAGATCCGTTGGTATCGATGATTTTACATGTAAAGTAACTACTTGTATTGGCTAAAGAAAAATATCAAAGAACTTAATGTTTATATATATATATATATATTCAATATTTACCAATTGAAAAAATTCTTGTGAATTTTCATCAATTAAACTATGAACAACAATAACTAAAGGATATTCACGACGTGTTTCATTATTTTGTGTTAGATAATTCTCAGCATCTGAAAATTTAACATGTTGAATATAATCACCTGGAGTTTGAAAACTAAATAAATAAATAAATTCATTTGGTTTAATTTCATTTCTTTATATTCATAACAAAAATTTTTTACCTAAATATTTCTTGATGTGCACAATGATTTTTTAAAAATCGATTTTCAATTAGTGATAATCGAAAATCTATTGAATCTAATTCAGAATAAAAATTTTGAATATTTACAAACCAAAAAACACGTAATTGACAACGAATTTGTGTTTCAAGATGAATATAAACACCATCTAAAACAATTAATAATTTTTTTTCTTTCGATCATTTTTAACTTCATGCCTACCTTTAAGTGTTGATCGGTCCTCTTTAATATTTATTATATATGGACTCTCAATTATATCTACAGGCATATTTTGTGCTCTTTGAGATATTGGTATATTAGTTGTTTCACTTTGGAATAGATCGGGACGATATATGTAAACAGAAAACAAATAGAAGATATTAAAAAAAACAAACGCTAAATTATGAATCATTTTAAAATACCTGGCAACAGCAATCATTATAATAAATAAAATTATCATAAAGATATAAGGCAAAATTTCAGCGTACTCGATCATTTTGAATTTATACGAACGAAAACGAGAATCTTCAAGTAGAAATATCTATCATTTTTATTTTTCATAACAAAAAAAAAGTCATCGGAAAAGTTTTTTTCTTCTTTTCTTTTTTTATCTGAACAAAAAAGAAACAAACAAACAAACAAACAAATAACTTTAACAAAAAGAAACAATGAAAATTATTTCTTAGCCAAAAATATCATATCATCAGCAATAATACTTGTTACATAACGATCTTGATTTGTTTGCTTATCTTTAATTACATTATGATGAAGACGACCTTGAATATATAATCTATCACCTTGACGAATATATTTTTCAGCATTATCTAATAGACGTGGTTGAAATATAGCAATACGATGCCAATCAACACGTTGTTTTATTTCTCCACTTGTCATATTTGTTCCTGCATATTCATTTGTTGCTAAATTAAATGTAACTACTTTATGTTGTTTGGTACCACCAACTTTAGGATCTGCACCAACTCGACCTATTAATTGTATACGATTTAATGATCTTTCACGACCTGTTGATGTTGCTAAATCCTCTGGAGCTTCATTTTCTGTTGGTGCATCATTCAAAAATGTTTCATCATCAACTTTAGCTGTTGTCGGCTTGCTTCCATCCTTTGTTGCACTTCTTGTAGCCGTACGAATTATTATCGATTGAAACGAACATAAACCAGTTAATCGTATTAAAGACATCTATAGACTGAGAAAAAAAAAGATTTTATTCAAGAACCCTTCGCCACAATTTTATTGTATATGATTAAAATAAAAATAAAATATTTCATGCACTGTTATAAATAAACAAAAAAACTGTATTTATACATTTCTAGATTCAATGAGTTTTATTCATTTCTTGTTCAATTGTAAATGTAGATGATAGATTATCATTATTTATTCCTATAACTGATGTTTGCGTTGACATTGATGGTCGAGTCGATGAATTAGATATACGAAAAAGACAATCATCTTCTTGTAGTTCATCAGTATTCATTTTTTTATATTTAAATGTTTTAACAAAATATAGAAGGCCAGTAAAAGAAAGTAGAGCACCTTAAAAAAAGAAACAAATAAATTCATACGAATTAATAATAAATGTAAGAAGGAAGAATACTTCTAGCTTTCAGTTACATTTCGGTAGGAAGTGCTGCCAACAGTAGATTCAATAACTCTGTATTTTCCCTACAACTAATATTATCTGCAACTCTGGATAGAAGTTAAGCCCAGTGCGAAGTTCTTAAGCTCATTATACACACCCAGAAATCACAAGAACAGATGTATGTCACAACGTAGTCAGCAATTTATCTCAGACGAGTGATGCAAGACAAATAGCTGTTAGTGATTTGGCTAGAATCATTCTATTGCTGGTGATAACTAAGTTCTTTGTAGTTACATATCGAATAATGTAGCTACTCAGTCCAAGGCGATTTGATAAACATAGTATATTAATATTCTTACCGACTATCTTAACATCCGTTCGTATAATCGGTGAAAGCCATGTTGGTACAAAAAATGGTATGGATAAACCAACGTAAATGATTGTCTTAAGCCAATTATCAATAGGAATACAGCATAACCAATAGAAACATGCTTCACTTCTAAAATTTTGTAATGTTTAAAAGAATATATTTCAATAAATGATAAACATAATATAGAAAATGAAAAGCCCATTTACCAGAAAAAAATAATAAAAATGCACTTATGTATAGAACTAACACCACGAAGATATCTGTATTTTTTTTCAAATATCATTTATTGATAATATATATGTTTACCGGAAACAACAAATACAACAAGTTATACATTTATCAAGTATCCAAAGAACTTCCAAATAAGCGAAAACAATTGTCACAATTCTAAAAAAAAAAAAATTTTTTTTAGTATTGTTTCTTCTTCGAAAAACCAAAATACATACGTTATATATATTCGAAAGTTCCACAGATCCATCTCCAACCATTCCAAATATGTCACAAAAACAAGCCCTGAATTAAAAAAAAATAATGAATTCAGTTGATTTCAAATACTTAAAACTAACCAGTAAGTGTTATTAATCCAAAAATTCTTGCTAATGCTGTAATAAAAATAAAGATACAGCCTCTCCGCTGATGAGTTTGATAATATTCGTCGTCAATCTTCATCTAGAAGACAAAAACATGTTTGTAAAGATGTTTTATCTAGTTTATTGTATGCAAAAAATAGATAGACAAAAAAAAAAACAAAGAAAAAAACCAACAACGCCAATACACTATTTGTAGAGAACAAAACAAAAAAAAAGAACAGAAAAGCATAAACATTGACAAAGAAAAAAGGGGATAATATCTTACAGAGAAATAGCAACAGAATTTATTTCATTTTTTTTTGCCTACGTTTTTTATTGAAATCACATATAGAAGATAGCGTCTAAGTCTGTATATGTATGATTTAATAAATCATTAGATGGAACTACATTTGTTTTTTTCTATCACCGGAAAAGGCTCGAGAGACAAATAATTAAAGAGAAAGAATAAATAAGTATACACACGATGACTAAAACAAAGCAAAAGCATGCATTTTATTGTATTGTTTTTTCTTGTGTATGAATAAGATACATCTATATATATATCTATCACAGGCCCATTATTTGCTTTTCATTTTGGTACATAAGGAATTTGAACGACACGCATCGCTTGTGGACCTGGTTGAGCGAGTACAAGTTGTCCAGCTGAATTTTGTAAAAATATAGCACCACCTGATTGTTGCATGGCAGCTAATTGTTGAGCTTGAATTTGAGCAGCAAAAACTTGTTGTTGTTGCTGTTGTAATTGTAATTGTTGTAGTAAAGCTGCTGATGAATAAGCAACAGGTGGTCGAATAACTTGTACAAGTTGTCCATTGTGTTGAATAAATTGAGGTTGCTGCTGTTGTTGTTGTTGTTGTTGAGCTTGTAATAATTGTGCCGTTGGATATTCAATAAAATGTTGAATACCACCTAGGCGAAAAAATTAAAAATAAAATTTAAAGAATATCTTTTTTTTTGATTTACCTTGAGGCGTTCGTACGGCAACAACACGTGGTTGCTGAACAGCAGTTTGCATAGGCATATATAATTGCTGTGCTGGTTGTGCCATCGGTACTAATTGTGGATTAACACTTGTTGCTGTTTGAATCATCACTGGTTGTCCATCTTGTGTCAGTACAGTAGTTGTTCCACCTGGTGTTGTTTGACCAGATGTTGAACAACTTTCACCACCACTTGATGCTGCTGAATTTGGTGACATTTGTTGCTGTTGTTGTTGTTGTGATTGTTGTTGTTGTTCAACTGTAATAGACGAAGTATCAGAATTACTTGCAATTTGTGAAGTAGCTGCAGATGCCACTTGAAGTTGATAAGTAGCTAATGCTGGACTTGATGCTGCAACAATAAATGGACCCATTGACTAAATAACAAAAAAAAAAATTTTCAAAATTGATTGAAATAATAAATGAAATGTTCTTTTCAATATATACAGAAATAGTTGGTGATGAAATAATAGGTACTTGAAGTATTGGAATTTCGGCTAAATGTTTTTGAGTTTCACGTTCTTCAATTAATTGTTGTGCTTGTATTTCACTAATTAAACCATGATTTTTAGCTGCATGAATTTCGGCACGATACTAAAACGAAAATGTTTTATTGAAAAATATTTCAATAGGAAATTAAATACTTTTAAATCATTGAGCATTTCAATATTTTCTGGATCATCCATATCCGGTGGAGTAAATGAATGTTCTTTATTAAGTTTTTTCTAAATGAAAAAAAAACAAGAATTAATAAGCAAGAAAAATGAGTTCTTTTTAAAGTTGAATATAAGGCTATGATTACAGAGCAAGATATATCAAGTTGTCTGGAAAGTGCGTGCAACTAATCTTATACTGTGTTTGCGATTTGTTTTACTTATACCTTCATGTAGAGTGTGTATTTTTATTAGGATTCCCTTCAATCTACTTCGATTGCTTCCTTCTCTCTAGATGAAGAAAAGATTTTCACTACCATGTGGTAGCATGATTCATGCGTGTCAAAAATCGAGCATTCATGAAACTTTTTTTGTTTAGTAAAAAGGCACGCTCTACACGATCGGATAGATGAAGCAATCCACGAACTCAGTGCTGGATCAATTGCAAGAACTTTCCAAACAATTTAATATGTAGACTCGTAGAAAAAGACTTCCTCTATCTAAAGACGTACACAATATGAAGTTCCACTGCGCACCAGAGCCTATTGGTACGGTCTTGGAGCTAGATCTGGAAATTTTGGACTCAATAAGCTCTACTACACACCGATGATATGTCGATAGATGGTGCTACATTCAATCATGGTTGTGTTAAAGGTGCTATCTATCTATCGGCTTGTCAACAGTATGCAACAGATCTTGATGATGCATAAAAGATAGATGAAAACATATATAGAACCGACTTGTATGCTGATCTGGTCCGGTTCCAAATATGCATAGAAAGTCGTTTTCTAGAAGTCTACATATATTGTTGTCAGTAGTCAAAAATTATGAAAAAACTTGTGGTTGTGTTTACTTCAAATTCTGGTGGTAATTTTGGTCCAATCATTGGTTCACTATCACCATCGATATCATCAATTTCATTTTTTTTTAATGAATATGCAGGAGTTTGCTGTTTATTTTTTCCTTTTGCATTCTTTTTTTGGGCAATAGGACGTTGTTGATTCTGATTTATAGTTAAAATAATTGGTTCAGGTTTATTTTCTTCAGTTGTTGTTATGGTAGTTGTTGTTGTTGTTGTTGTTGATGTTGCAGTTGTTTCTTCGGGATTTTCTTCAGTTGTTGAAGTTTTTGGTGTTGCAGCAATGAGTATTCGTGGTTGTTTATTATTAGGTAATTTTCGAGTTGTAACACCTGATGTTAAATTATATTTATTACCATTTTTATTTGGTGTTGATCGACGTAAATTTTCATTTGATTGAGCTCGAGGATTACGTGGACCATTTCGAGCTCCACGACCACGTCGAGCTGCAGCACCACCTCGTCCACCTTTACCATGATTATTTGATTGTTGTTGATGATTATGATTTGAATGACGAGAAGATTTTTTATTATGACTTCGTGATCTTGATCGACTACGTGTACTACGTGATGATGTTGATGAACGTGAACTTCGTGAACTTGATGAACGACGTCTTGAATAAGAACGCGATGAACGGCGACTACTACGGCTACTATGACGCCCACGATTATCACTTGAACTCGATGATGAACGTGTCGATGAACGCGATGAACCTAAAAATATGAAAATAAAGATTTTATTTCAAAGAAACAATAGAGTTTTAAACTAACGTGTTCGTCGACGTCTATATCTGCGACGTGAACGACTTGATGATGAACGTGAACTATCAGATGATGTAGTTGTATATGATGAACGTGAACTTGATGATGATGAATGACGACGATGATGACGATGTCGTCGACGACCACTATGTTTTCTTCGTCTTGATGATGAGGCTGATGATGATCGAGAATAACGATCATCCTCATGATGATCGTTATTATCATTATTGGATTTTTTTTCATTTGTTGTTGAAGCAACAGGTTCATCATTTTTAATTTCTTCTGTTTTAACATGTTCTTCATTAATAATGGATACTGTTGTTGATGTTGTTGGTAATTCAACTGTTGTAATCGATTCTGTTGTTTCGTCTAATAAAGATTAAAAAAAAGATTTGATATGAATTTTTATATGTTATGTTTTCGTCGTTTTTAGTCAATGTTTAAATCGAATAAAATAATGAACAAAAAATAAACAACAAATTGCGCGCTCGCGTGTAAATGTGTTTAAGATGGATTTTTGGCATAACATGCGTCAGAAAAGCAAAGAGCTCAGCTGCTATAGCGGCGGCAACGGCGACCAAAAGTAGATTAAATGACGATGTAAACAGCAATAGAGAAAGAGGGACAAGAAGAAAAGAAAATGATATGAGATCTCTTGCCTTAACAAATAAATTCGTCGAATGTAGCCTATAGAGAAGTGAGAGCATTCAAGCAGAGCTCCAGACATATATTAAAGTTTTGTGCATAAAATTATTGAAAATATCTTGGTTTAATTTCGTTTGAGAAACAAAAATTTTTATTTCAATTTTCAATATACTGAAATTTTGAAAAGCAATCCCTATTTTGTCGGTTTTTCAAATAATAAAATAAGAAATAAACAAAATTTTTTTCTTAACATACTTTCTGATTTTTTTTGTTTTTTGGTTCGATTTTTTTTATCATTTTCATCACCCGATGATGCTGAATGTGAACTCATTGTTGAATCAGTAGGTTTATGTAAACGTTTCTTTTTTGTTGCATTCATTAATGGAATAATTTCTTCATCATTATTACCAATATCATTTGATACAGGTGAAGTTTTAAGTGGAAGATTTTGTGTACGATTAAATTTAAATTGTATAGGTCCTGATATACTTCCTGTATTATTCATTCGACATATACGTTCAATTTGTTCATCTTCTTCACTTTCATTACTTGATTGATCAGAATTATTCATTGTTAATTTTGATGATGTTGCATCAAGTAATGCTAATTGTTCTTCAAATTTTTTCTTAGCTAAATCTTCAACATTAGTTATATTTGTTGTTGATGTTGGTGAAAGTTTCGTATTATCATTATTTGTATTAATTAATTTTGTTGTTCGTACAACAGATGATGGTACAAGTTGTTCAAGTGTTGTTAAACGTGAACGAGAACCTTGACGTAAAATTGTTGGCATAACTGGTGGTGGTGAATGTGATAATGATATATTAGTTTTTACAATTGAACTACTTGTTGTTATTTTATCATCAAGATCATCATATAAATTAGAAATAGGTGGTGGTGGTGGTGGTGGAGGTGGTTGTTGTGTTTTTTCATCGGATGGTGGAAGTGGTGGAGGATCAGTAATTTTTTCATGTTTTTCATTTTGATATTTCTTTGATTTATGTTGTTTCTTTTTATGTTTTCGAAATTTTTCTAAACAAAAACAAAACTTATTCGAAAACATTTTTTCTATTTTGTGACAAGATTTTACCTTCATGATTTTTTGAGACTGATTTCGAATTCTAAAAAATATAAAATAGAAATATGTTATACATGTTTAATTAGAAGAGAAAAAACAAAAGCAAAAAATCTCTACTTTGAATAAATATTTATTTAGCTAAAAAAATGAAAAAAAAATTAGAATCTATCAAAAAACAAAAACATCGGAAGTAAACTCTTCATTAGAGAAATAACAAAGTAAATATACATAATTTATATCAATAAAATTCTAATCTTCTCTTATGAAAAAAAAAAACATTAGGCCATTTATAACAACAAATAAAAACTTACACTTTTAGATTTTTTTGATAATTTATCATTTGTTGTTGGTGATGATTCTATTACAAATAGACAAAAAAAAAACAAATAAGTAACAATTTTTTTAAATATTCATATAAGATCCAATATGAATCGATCGGGGAAAATAGTTGCGCGAGCATACAGTTTTAGCTAGACTAAAAAAATGCATTGTGTTATGGCACAGAGAAGAGAGAGATATATATATAGATATATAGACAAAAAAAAATACCTCTGTTTTATTCTCCTGAAAAACAAAAGAAAATTACATAAACAGATCACAACAATTGTCTATAAAATAAAATAACACACAAAACACATTTGACAGAGAGAGAGAGAGAGATGAAATAGCTTCTTCTGTCTTTTATTTAATATTACGAGAAGATAAAAGAAAAAAAAAGAATTATGCATGCAAATAAAGAAGCAAGCTAAGGACAATAAGGTTAACGTGCATATTGATTTTTATTATAATTAGTAATTTACTGTATTTTAATTTTAGTGCATAATATAACACGATTACCTCACCGTTTTGTTTTCTGCTTTTTTTAATATTTAACGATGATCAGTGTTTCTGCTGGCTATAAGCATATAGAAATAGCGATAGGAGGCAAACAAAAACAAGATAAAAAAAAAAAAAAAAAACTAAAAAGAATATTCACAACAAACAAAGCCAAAGAAATGAGTACATCAATTTTCTTTTATTTTTTATTATTATCATTATTTTCTTTTTTTTTTTTTTAAATACTTTTTATGAACAGAAAGAAAAAAATATATATATTATTTATAAAAAATAAATAATAATGATTTTTTTTACCTCTTGTATATGTATATGTTCAAAGACTAAAGTTGGTAAAAAAAAATAGAGGATTGATCATTTCGAATTTGTAAAAAAAAAAAAAGAACAAAAACAAAGATTTAATTGAAAAGAAGGCTACATGTGATACAGTGCAGCAAAATGACACAATCAAATATTTAACTAAGTAAATAAATTATTTTCGTGCAATGTAGAAAAAAGAAAAGTAATAATACAAGCAATTATCATGCAAAAGAGCAGCAAGAATAATAAAATATATTATCATATAATCAATCAACCAACCAATATATGAAAAGAATATTTAAATGTATATATATATATATATATATATCAATGTATATATAAATGATGAGCACCTGATCATAAAGAGAAAAGTTCTTTCCTATAATAATAGAGAGAAAAAAAATATGTCGTTGCTCGTTTGATGTTTTTCTGTTGATAATTTAAAAGCTTTATAATAAACAATCTCACAAAACTTGCCTATCTGAAGAGTAAAGCATACAAACACACAGATTTTTCACAAAAGCATAAGGAAAAGAAGAAGCATGGTTTTTGTTAGTATAGGAAATTTGAGGCGGTTACTGATCTGCTGGACGACATATTGACATTTGACCATTGTGGAAGAAGATGATGATGATGATGGCTGATTCCATGAATAGAAAACAAAAATAGAATATGTATATATATAAACATCTTAGCATGCACAATTACATCGTGTTCAAAGTAAGCATTAGTAATAGCAGCAGCAAAACAAAAAAAAAACAGAAGAATAAACAAAGCATAGATATATAGATAACATGCAAAGAAGATCAACAAATAAGTGATAGAATACACGCACGCCATAATGTGAATAGTTATTATATGTTAGTTTAATAGAACAGATAGTTGGGGATGACTGTTTCTTTTTTTTTGTTGTGTTATAAATTGTTGATTAATCTGTTGTTTTTGCTGTTTTGTTGGGCAAATCTACGCGCGCACAACACCCACGAACAACAATAACAACAATAATAACAACATGAATAGAAAAAATGAAGAAAATATATGAAATCCTAAATCTCTCTCTCCTCCAAGCCTATTTTTTCTTCGTTTTTTACACGCCAAGCATCATCATCCTAATATTTTTTATCTTGTTTCATTTTGTTTTGAAATATATTAACTTACGGTATATAAGAAATCTCAACTGTCTTCTTCATCTTCATCTGTATATTTATGAACAGAAAAAGAGAAAAAAGAACGAGAAGAGAAAGGAGGCATATTACCTTCTTTTTTTCAAACATGATCACTAGAATAGAGCAGGCATCAACAACATCGGTATATAACTTTAATTTTCAAATAGAGAGATTAAATATGTATGTATTTTTTTTTCTCTCTCTCTATTTAGTTTTTCAAAAAAAAAAGAAAAAGAATACAAATCCGATGTTCTTTGCAAATTTTTTTTTTTTTTTTATAAATTCATATGAACTTATAGGTATTATTTTACCTTTCGATGTTGATGAAGATGCTACAACAACTGTTGGACGTATACTTGTATTGCTTGTTATAGAAGCCATCGTTTTTATTTCTATTGATAAAATCAAGAAAAAAAAAAGGAATAGGTTTTTTTTTTAATAAAAATTCAACTTTTTTTTTTTTCATACGTAATCAGCGTATCAAACAAACAAATAAAAACTGATATACAAATTTCTATTTTCTAAAAGAAATATACAAAGAAAATGATTATAAGAATTTATTATTATTTCTTATTTTTATTTACGAAAGATTTATTCAAGGAAGTCCAATAAGAACATACATACACACTAAACTTCAGTTGATGATTTGCAAAAAGGAAAAACAATACGAATGACAGAAGAAAAAAACAACAACCTTGTATCATATGTTTACCATATGTAAAACACTTCAACCTCTGTATTGTTGATTTGTTTTAACAGTAGGAATAAAAAAAAAAACTAATAGCGACATCTACATCATTGAAATAATATTATATTTTTAATAATATTTCATATATTGACTGTTTTTATACATGAGAAAGAATTTCAAATTTGTTTTGCTTTTTGCTTTAAAAAAAAATTATGATATTTTATGGAATAAGTTCAAATTTTCGAAAATATTGTTGAATAAGCAACGAGAAAAAAGAGAGAATTGTTGAAGTAGAATATCTTGTTTCAATCATAAAACATGTTTGTTGGTCCCCAAGACTACGGATATAATTGTTATCGGTTAAAAAAAAATCTGTATTTTATTGCTTGCAATATGGGCTATCTAATATGTGATTTTTATATATAAACTTTTCTATTATTATGAAAAGAATAGAGTGGTACATTAGGGTTGATTGTAACACATTTGATAGAGTATCTATGAATTGACTTTTTGAAGTATCTCTTGATGTTTATCGAACGTTTTGTTCTCAAGGACTTAGATTATTTACCAATATATTATAAATCATTTTCCTTCTATTAAATTTTATATTTCAAGTTCAATGAAAACTTTATTTGTATACGTTCATCATTCTTTTATTGTTCTTTTCTTTTTGCTCCTGTGTTCTTTAGGAACAAAGAATATCGATGCTGATAAAAGAAAAAAAAGAAAACACAAAAAATAAACACACAACGAAAGAAATTGAAGAAAGAGAAATAAAAGAAATATGTTTCATGTGTTGCATGGTAGAAATTTTTTTTTGTTTTATCAACAAAACTGACAGGTGAGAACGGCTGTTGAAATCGTAAAAAGTAACCACCATCATCTCCTACCATGTGTCGATGGGGATGTTATAATTATGAATCTGTAAGGCAATCTCTATGAACTATTTCATCTTGAATTAATTACGATAATGTTAATATTTTACAGACATATATGTGTAAATTTTGTGGTACACGTTTTTGTTCAGAATGTCTCCGTGGTGATTTTTATGGATTAATGAAAGCTCCTGATCATTGTCGTAAATGTAATCAAGTAAAAATATTTTTATTTAAAATTCTTTTTCGGAGATTTTTTTTATTATTTATTTTAGATGAAATGTCAAGGAAAACGTGTTGAAGTTGTTGTATTTGCACCTGGTACTGAACCAAAAGCGCCAAAAAAATCAAGCAAAGGTGGAAAAGGTGCAAGCAAAGGCAAAGCATCAGGAGGCAAAAAAGCAAAAAAGAAGAGATGATTAATAGAAAACGGAAAAACATAAAGACAAAAGAGAAGACTAAAAAAAAATCATTTTTACATATGTTATGTCATTTTTTATATTTTGCTTTTTTTTTTCTTATTCAAATTTATAAGAAAACAAAGATGAGCATACAGTGATATCGAATGACACATTCTTTTATATGCATTTTTAGCTTATTTTCTCGTTGTAAAATAAGAAGACAAGACAATGTCTTAGAATCTGACTGTCTAATCAAAAAAGCAAATCACTTCGCTTCAGTGACAACTAGAATATTAATGAGAAACCAAAAGAGATTCAGATAGCAAGAGAAAAAAGAGAGAGAGAGAGAGAGAGAGAAACTAATGTAAATTATAAATAACATATTATCAGAATACAAACATTTATTTCAAACCAAAAAGAAATCCATCACTTCTTTTAGCTTTGTAATAATAGACAACATCGAAAAAAAAAAGAATATATATATATGTGAATAGATATGCCTGATCTTGATTTATGCATATTTTTTTGAAAAGGCTTCTTCCAAAGTGACAAGAAAATATTATAATCTTTTGTCATTCTTGTTTTTATTACTGTCGAGTTTCATATTTAACAGTTACTCAAAAAACGAGCAAAACTATTATTGCTTAACATTTGATAATAAAAAAAAAAAGGAAAAGAAGCTATCTATTTTATCATTCATTTTCTTATTGTCCGGCAATCATTCAGACAGTTAATATCGGTGCAAGTGTCGCCAGTGCGCGGCCTGCTTGCGAAAATCGGCGTCGTTCTGCTCGTCTTTCAATGAGTTCGACGATACCCGGACGTCCATCAATGCCTTTAATAACAAATAAAAAATCTTCTTCAACTAATAATAATGGTTCAACATCAAATACAGATACAAAACGAGCAATATCAACTGAAGGTCTTACTGATACATCTGTACTAGCAATTAAAAAAGAATCATCAAGTGGTTTCAATTATCAAAGTTTAACTGAAACATCACCATTAAATGTATCAAAAACAAATAGAAAATTACCTATACGTTCACATAGTTCAACAAATGTTGAACTCAGTTATCATTTACAACAATTAAAAAATATCGGTAAACGTAAACCAACAACTGCTAGTGATGATCGAAATAATGATAATGAAGAACGTACACATTTAACATCATCAAATCTTAAAGTTGAATGTGATGATATTAAAACAGAAACATCAATACATAAACCAATGGAAATTGAAAAAATAAGACTGTCTTTACCATGGAAACCAGCAAAACAAAAAGTTACTATTGAAAGAGATTCATGGGATCATAAAATCGAATTTCTTCTTGCTGTCATTGGTTATGCTGTTGATTTGGGTAGGACTTATTTTTCGTATATATTAAATATTAATACACTTTTTTTAAACTTAGGTAATGTTTGGCGTTTTCCAACAGCTGTCTATTTGAATGGTGGTGGAGCTTTCTTCATACCATATTTTATTCTTTTACTATTTGGTGGATTACCGTTGTTCTAGTATGTTTAGTTTTCTTTTTTATTTTAAAAGTCTTATTGTAACTTTTTTATTTACTGAATAGTATGGAACTTGCTCTTGGTCAATATCATCGGTCAGGCATTTTTACCGTTTGGAAATATGTAAGTTTCTTTTTTGAGAAATATGATCTAGAGGAAGTTTTCTAGCATAATTCTTCGTAGCCATCGCTCAGGTCACATGAAGACCTTGCACAAGTACTGTTCTCAATGGAATTAGTTCATTGTGAAAGTTTCAGCTTGTTTTTCGTTGTTACTGTCATTTATATTGGGTTTCAAGTATAGCAGCTTGAATGCCAGCTATAACATGAGTTTGAATTGAAGCTCTAGGGATGTATCAGTGATCAAAGGCTAGTCTTGGAAGTTCTAAATCTTGACGAAGAAATATTCTTTTTTGGTTAAGATTATCAGAATATCTTAAGAGTCATAACATCTACGTATAGATGAAGTTTGAGATCAAAATTTCGTTGTGACTTGATCTTTCAGAGACTACTAGAAATAAGTCAAAAGTCCAGTAAACTTGTTATAACCTGCCCATAAACGGTGGATGTCACTTCAGATAGTTTTCTCGTTAGCAACGACACATTACAGACCGTGACAGATTTTGTTGATATGTGATCGAGTACCAAATATCAATAGTGTCTCGTTCTAATATATGAACAATTTACTTATTGTATTTCACAAAAGATTGAGGATGAAATGTTTGCCAAATATATAGAATAATACAATCGCCCTGTGATTAGTAACAGGAGCTACATCGTATTTCAAATTTTAATTCTGCTAGCATTGTGCTAAAAGTTGTTTTTATTTTTATGTTGAAATATTGAATTGAAGAATTTACTTTTCATCTGCAGATTTGTCCATTGGTAAAAGGAGTTGGTTGGGCAACACTATTAATTAATTTTATGATGGCTATGTTTTACAATACCATAATCTCCTGGGCCGTTTTTTATTTAGTCAAGTCATTTAATAGTATCGGATCTGAATTACCATGGAAACATTGTGGTCATTCGTGGAATACGGCATGTTGTGTAGCAGCCGATATAACAGAATATGAAAATAAGGTAGAATCAGCTAATATTACAAAACAATTATTCAATAAAACGACAATTAATACGACACCATTAACGACAAAATCAATGGAATATTGTAATCGATCTGTTTATTCAACTGAAGAATATTTTTAGTAAATTTTTGATTAGATTTTTTCTGGATAAAAAAATAATTTTTATTTTTATTTTTTTTTAAGTCGACGACTTCAAGAAGTAGATAAAGCTGATGGATTTAATAATTTAGGAAAAATTAAATGGGAACTTGCTCTATATCTACTTATTGTCTTTGTTATTGTGTATTTTGCACTTTGGAAAGGAATTAAAAGTTCTGGAAAAGTAATTTTATATTAATTAATACATAAAGATATTTCTCATTACATTTCTTGTCGTTGTTTTTTTAGGCCGTATGGATTACTGCTATAGCACCATATATTGTTCTGATTATATTATTAATTCGTGGTATTACTCTATCAGGTGCATCAATTGGAATTGAATTTTATCTGAAACCTAAAATAGAATTATTAAAAAGTTTTACTGTAAAATTTAACTGATCATTGTCAAATCACTATTATGTTGCATTTTATTTATAGATTTGGAATGCCGCAGCGACACAAATATTTTTTTCACTTGGACCAGGTTTTGGTGTCCTATTAGCTTTATCATCATATAATAAATTTCATAATAATTGCTATCGGTAAAAGAATCTTATTTCTCTTTTTTTTCACTATGATATATCATTATGTTGTTTCAGAGATGCATTAATAACTAGTACAATTAATTGTGCAACATCACTTCTAGCTGGTTTTGTTGTCTTTTCAACACTTGGTCATATGGCTAGTGTATCACGCAAAACCATTCAAGAAGTTATTGAAGATCAAGGTAAATTTAAAATATTTATGAAATTTGAATAAATTATTTCTTGAAATGTTAGGTTCGGAGCTTGTCTTTATTGTTTATCCACATACAATTGCACTAATGAAGTGGTCATCATTATGGTCGATTCTTTTCTTTTTTATGTTAATCACTTTAGGCATTGATAGTACAGTGAGTGTTTTGATGTGTTTTTTAATGTTGGAATAATTATTTTATGGAATTTAGTTTGGTGGTCTTGAATCAATTATTACTGGTTTATGTGATGAGTTTCCGAATATACTTGGACGTCATCGGTCTTTAGTTGTATTAGGTGTTCTTGTCATATGCTATTTAGGTGCATTACCAACATGTACGTATAGTGGTGATTATATTGTTAATTTAATGAATGAAATAGTTGTTGCTCCTGCTATTCTTCTTGTCGTATTCATTGAATGTATTGCTGTTTCATGGTTTTATGGTAAAAATTAATTATTAAAATACATTAGTCATTGAAATTTTTTTTTTCTTGAAAATTTATTTAGGTGTTAATCGACTTGCAAATGATATTAAAGCAATGATTGGCGCAAGACCATCTTTATTTTGGCGTTCAATTTGGTATCTTATTAGTCCAATATTTTTACTCGTAAGTAATAATGTTAAGGCTATGAGTTACGTGATTCGTAAAAATTATAGATTTCATCAGTAGAATTTTTTCTAGCCGTATACAAATACGGTATAGGAGTAGGTTCGAATGGATTTTCATTTCATCCACATCTACGTTCATACGTTCGTTTGATTGTCGTGCTCAGCTTCAGCGTTATAAACAGTAGCTTTTTTTCACCGGCTGTATGATATAGCAAATAAATAATTGCTCTACATTAAGGTTCACGATGTCTAACTTTATTGTTATTTACATTTGTTTCATCTTTAAACTCTAAGCTGAAGTGGAAAGAAAGAATAGGAGCAAAGAGTACTTATATGTATATGTCGTAATAGCATCTCTACTATACGATAAAAGGAAATGACGAAAACAAATGAATCATACTATTGCGCATTTAAATTTTTGTACTTATGCATTGTTTTACGAGAGAAGTTCTTCAACTGATTAGTCGCTTTGAATTCTGAATCACGTGCATCACGTAGATCCAACTTAGCTTATAACAAGTTTTGTCATAGCTGCATCGTAGGATAGAAAAAACGGAAATATTTCAAAATTTCATAATAAACTGTTCTCAATAAGGCCTGTTTGTATGAAATTTTTAAATCCAAGTTCAAAAGCGAATTTGCTTAATGTTCCGCACAATAAACTATGGGTCGGAACTCTTTTTAAAGTATTTATAGCTTTTAAGAATCGACATGACTTTTTATTTGTGTTCTATGGTTAAGAATATTTTTTATATTAAAATATACAATAGATGATATTCTGTATTTCAATGGATAATTTACTCTTTGGTAATATTCGAATAAAACGATTAAGTTTACGAAATTTACCGACTATTGTTCAAGTATGGTCTTATCTTATGGTGTTTGTTCCTATACTATGCATTCCAGCTTATGCTATTTATAAATTAATAGTAACACCTGGAAAAGATTTTGATGAAGTAAATAAAATAATTTCGATTACGAATAGTCTTCTTTTTTTTTAAAAATATTTCGTTTGTTTTTTTTAGCGTCTTCAACGATCAATACAACCTGAAGAATCGTTACATGAAAATATTCATTTTCGATCAAATGATGAACAACAAGAAGGAAATAAAATTGAAATTCTTTAATTCATTATCTTGATTTTACAATGTAAAAGAAAAACAGTAAAGAGCTTTATTGTTCACTACTCTTTGGTAATGGTGTTTTTAATTGTTCATCGACAGACTGACCAAGAATCCGTGTACTTGCCGACCCTTTTTTTGTTGTTGTTTCGTAAAAAAAAATATTCGTAAAACAATTTTAATTAATAAATATTTTACCTCCTAGTAGTTCGGGACCACCTTGCCCACATATTTTACTTCCTTCTTCACCACCTAATCCAGCTTGAGGTCCAGCAACTTCTTTATTTTTAGTTACTTTTGGTTTACCAAGATGTTGTTCATTTTCTGCATAACCTATTCGATGATGAACATCATTAGGTAACTTTTTATGAGGCATATTTTATATTTTATGTTGTATTGTTTTGAAAGTACTTTATTTGACTCTTTTTGTCGTAAATTAAAAATGTGTGTAAGAATATATTCGTTGATGTGCGTATGAAAGAAAGTGTCAGAGTAAAAATTGAGTAGAAGAAAAAAAGGAAAGAAGAAAATATACAATACAGAACTAATCCGACAAGTTCATTAGGTGCAAAAACTGATCTTATTTCAATCACATTCGTTGTAGATCATTTCGAATTTAATATTTGATCGATTAACAATATGTATTGTACTTTAATGTGATTGTACATATTTCAATGTATTATAGATTTCCATACAATGTCAAATAGCTTAGGAGGAAACCTAGCTAGATGTCTCTTTCTGGTTTCATTGATTTTTTTGCCTATAGGTACTATTGGTACCTTTTGGTGTGAAATGAACTTGAAAAACTCATTAACTGCTGTTTTTCTTGGATCACCTGTCCGATAGTATGCTGACTACGGTGTGACATACATCTGCACATTTGCTAGTATGTGGCTGGTTCATCTGTACGAGAAGTTCGAGCAGTTAAATACAAGAGCTAGTAATAGTTGTAGAAAAGATATGGAACTATTGAAACTGTCGCTTGGCAGCACCTCATACCGTACGGTAGCTGAAAAGATATAAATTTTTTTCCATCAATTGAGTTTACAACATATATTTTTTGCAAACTTCATGTTTCGAAGAGACTTTGTTCAAAATCTCTCCAATTTTTTCTAATAGAATTTTTACTAGAATACTATAGAATCTATAAGCAAAAACAATTACTGAAATCGAAATAAGGCATTCGAAAAAACTTCCTTACTAATTTACTAGAAAAACGTTTATTAATACTGAATGACCATGACAGAGTGCACTTAAAGTTTCGTTTCGAATTTTTTTGACAATACGTCATCTCATTCTTTTTTTTATATTTATTCTCGTTTATGTGAGAAGATCATGTCAATATTGTGTTATATAATATTTATCCGTGTTTCTTGCATCATAGTGTAATAAACTTTTTAAAAGGTTTCATCTAATTCTATCGAATGTTAATCTAACTATAAAAGAAATAAATATAATAGAAAATATATTAGAATAAAATATTAACAAAGATATCTATGTAAAACAGTCGAATTGTCTTATTGTCACATAGAACTGATTTCAACCATTGTTATTTATTATAAGAGTAAACCAAACTAACATAGATCATTTCTTAGTGGTTCTGTTTTAAATAATGTAGTTAGTCTTAATAATAAACATAATTTCAAACAACTCATCTGAAAAATAATACGCTTTATATAAAAACAAAAAAAATGAACGCAAATATTCGCAAGATATATTTCTCGATTAATAAATAATTAAATTAGAAAAATCATTTATTAGTCTTCATAATGAAATTTTTTCTCAATTTCTTTTCATTGTGGTAATTCAACTATATCTTCATATGTTTGAAAATTGACACTATCTTTTGATCATAATTGTTTTTCAGCTTTTAAATCTCTTACAGCTTGTTCAATAGTATGCATAACACGAAATAAAATTGTTGTTGGATAAAGAATCATAGAAAATTTCATTTTATGTAATTCATCTGGCGAAACCCATGGTGTGCGATCACCACCTTTGAATATATTCACACAAAGTGATGCACCTTTAAAATATCGTCCAATACGTTCGATTTGTTCTACATTTCGCGAGCTTTCAATAAATAAACCATCAGCATCCACTTGTAAATATCGTTCGCCACGGCGTAATGCTTCATCAAAATCATACGCTTCAATAGCATTTGTTCGAGCAATAATGAAAAATTCCGATTCGGAACATGCTGCTAAAGCTGCACGAATTATCGATACTATAGCATTCACTGATACAAGTTCTTTACCAAGAAAAAAAAAGTATTCATAAAAAACAACTTGTAGAAATCTTAAGAAATTCTAAATATTGAAAATAGATCGAACCTTGAAGATGATCACATCGTTTAGGTGCTCGTTGATCTTCAAAAAACAAAGCTGATACACCAAGTGCTTCATATCCTCTAATTGTTCGTGTTACATTTTTTACATCACCATAACAATGATCAGCTTCAATCATTACAGGTAATGATGAAGCTACGATAATATCATAAAAACCTGTACGTTCTTCACCAAAATGTGTTAAAACAAGATCAGGATAAGCATCTAAACATAAGAAAAGTATACTATTTTATGCTAATAAGAAACAAAAAAAACTAAATAATTCGATATAGAGTTATTAAGATACTTACGTCGTGCACCATTTAAAGCAAAACCACCAATTTGATAAGCTTGAAAACCTGCACGTTCTATAATTCTTGCTGTTAATGCATCATGAGCGGCTGGTAATACTAATGAAGCATGTTTAGAAATCAATTCATTTCAATATGCTAGTTTTTTACGATCTCTAGAATCTATTCCGATACTGGAAACTATTGTTCGATATATTAATAATTGAGTATTAATATAAGAAAATTCTATACTTTAATATATGTTTAAGTATAATTAAGAATAATCAAATGAACTTTACTTGTTTTTGATAATCAAACATTTAAAAAGCTGTTCCAACCAAGAATCGTTGTTAATCTACACACACTACTAATTATAACATGTATTAAAAGTATGTTTCTATTTTTTCGTTACTTTTTAATATAGTTAATTCTCTATACCGCATTAATGATTCAATGTGTCATTTCTACGACATATATACATATGTAGATTGTAAGATGAATGCATAGAATCACGTATACTTTACTAAATCTAAATCGGGATGAAAAACAAGAGAGGATATAAAAAGAAAATAATTATTTTATTCAGGTTTTAATTGTTTTGATTCTATGAATTTATCTCTAGTTGAATTTTAACATTGTCTGCAACACATGTAGTGGATATCAAAATTATTTTCAAAGACATTGACTTTAGAAAACCAAAACCCCTAGTTGTTCAACACCTTGAACGCGTAAATATAACTTTGTTTAGACTATATAATGTCATTTTCTATTATTTATAATATAGTCTGTAGTATTAGCCAGACTCATTTTATAGTAGAACACGACAAGATATCGTTAAAGAGAAAACTATTGTATTCATTTGCTTTCATCTGCTGTTTTTGAATATTTGGAAATTATACGATCGATATGTATTTTATTAGATCGCTAATTAAGAATGTTTAAGAGTGATATTAGACTAAGTTTCAGGATCATAGATCAGTTGTTCAGTTAGTCGCTTTTTTTTCGTAATTGTCTGATGAAGTATACATCATTGTGACTTCGTATGCCGTTAAAAAAAACTATCGATTGAATATACAGTGGACGGAAATTCATGTGACATTATTTTTGATATTGTACTAAACAATACTTTTATCATCCCAGTAGTTAAAAAGATCACTGTGAATTTTTATTACTTCTGATTTTCAACTTGATTGACAAAAACACTTTCACGTCCGTAAGATATTATTCTTTTCAAATGTGATTCTGGCGTACAGAATTCTTTTCCTTGTATTATTTTATGCTAGTATAACCTATAACTATTTGAATATATCAAAAAAAAACACTTGCACACAATTAAAAAAAATAAAATGATTTTTATGTCAATCTCTATTCATCGTGGTATCAATACTATTCTCAAATCTAGAATGTCCAATATTTGTTGAAGTTTATCCACAGTCATTTTAGTTCGGTTTTCAGAATTAGTTAAAAATTCTTCCATGGCTCGTCGATTATCGTCATTTAACGATTTCACTTGAGTTTTTCGCCAAGGCAAAATTTTTCGAAGCTGTTCACTTAAGTCATCATTATTATGAATACGAGAACTTTTATGCATAGACAACTTATTCGATGAACATGAGAGAAACAATTTAATTGAAATATTGTTTAGTGACCAGAAAGCAGCACCGGTAAGAAGAATACTAAGAATAATGATTAGAAAATGTTTATTCAAACGACAATGCCACAACCACCGAGTACCGTCAACCTATAAGGAAAATAAAAACATTATAACCAAAGTCATTATGGCTATTCGTTACCTGTTTATGATTGTTCGGCATTGTGTTCTCATGAATATTGGTCGATTGCTAAACGTAAAGAAATCTTATGTTGTAAAAAATTATTCTTTGTTTATGCTATAGAATATGATCATTTAATTATTTCTGTCGATTTAAAGAGACTGAAAACGAATGATAACTGCAAGTCTTTTCCATTGTAGCCGACGAGCGTCGTTCAGCTGTCTTATAGAACGTATTAGTATTCTATTCATTTAATCATACTTCAGAAACAGATGTGACAATATCATTAGAATCAAATACAACAATTATATAACGTTCTATGTTATCGATTTTCAAGAACTCGAATCATCCATACGTTCTCTTATATAATAAGTGTTCAAGTCATAGAAAAAAATAGAAGTTAAAAATTTGAATCTATATGTCAGATTGTCATGTGTTTATTATAAAATCTTGTTTTTCATTAATTGTATTTCTTAATCAATTCAATGTGACCAAACGTCGGTATGCTCAGGTGAAGAAATGTGGACCATTTACGGCTGCAATCTTTAGTATTTTTCGTCAAATACACTTTTGCTCTGACTAGTGAGAAGTGGGACGAAGCATGTTTGGGACCCGATGATCCCAGTCAAAAACATTTTCGTTTCTGGTTTCTTGCTTAGTAATCCATGTATTAGTAAAACATGCAATATCATTTTCTGCCAATGCTAATAAACTCCAGATATCTTGCGTGACCTCTAATGTCATCCCACCTGGAGATTCATTACCTTTTTTCATTCAATAATACTTCGTCTATTCTGCATGTTTCTGTGATCAACAACTATGTTATTTAAGAAAAAAAATAAGATCACATAAGTTGTAAAAAATATTACATTTATCACAAGTTTTACACGACCATAAACAGATATCACTTCTAATGTAAAAGCGCTGATTCTGGTTCTGGCGGAATCATTTTGCCCATATCTAATTCTGACACTATCGTTCTTAACTAGAAAACTATGGTGATAACTTACATTACAATTATTGGTATCTTCCAATAAGGGATCTGTCTTTAATACTAATAATTCTTGGTTAATCGACTCGATTGGGGCCATATATGGTAAACATGTTTCTTCAGGCGTTCTTTCGATTGTCGTTTTATAGGCAAGATCCGAAGATGACAATGAAGGTAACATATCATCAACATTGAAATATTGGATGTTAGATGTGCGCGAATATGAAAGAGACTCTAGAAGTCCGTTGGTCACTTTCTCCGATGAACTTATAGAAGAATCATTGATATTTCTTGTAGATTGTGAAATATTTTTCATTTCATTAATTTTTTTCGTCGACAAAACGAGCAAATCTAATGCAGATATCGACGTATTTATTACACCATTTAAGGAATGTATAGAAGAAGGAAGTTGAATATCTTTTTCTACCATATTTACTAATATTGTTTGTGGTAGAGTTTCATCAGATTTGCTAAGACTTCTAGTATGTTGTCGATCGGAGAAGGAAGACGAATTGAGAGAAACATCAGTACCACTATCACTGTTTTTAAATGCATCGTCTACAACAACATCCTCATAAAGTGCCAATCCTTTTTCGTATTCACTCATTGCTTCTTTTAATTCACCTTTGGCTTTGTAGACTGCAGCTATATTCAAATGGCTATCGGCTACACTAAGTGCATCAGCAATTCGTTCGAATATTTCCATTGACTTGCGATGATATCGAAGACTTTCATCATATTCGCCTTTCTCCTTGGTAACATCTCCCAATTCAACATAACATTTTGCCACTATTCGCTCATCTTCAATAGCTTTTAGATTTTTCAACATTTACCTTTTAATGTATGACGTTACCGTGTAATCAAAGTGGTTCGTTCTATGTTTTTCAGTTAATCGAGCTTCATACAGACGCGAATGAGTTCTTTTTTTAATAGAAGAGGCACCGTCAAAAAAAAAGAAGAAAAGCGGAGAATAATTTAGGATGACGGTAGACGTGAAAATAATTTTTTTTCTTTTGCCGTCAAATAACTCTGACCGTAACAGACGACTGAAGAAAAAAAGAGAAGAGAAACCAGAAAGAAAAGAAAAGAAAGAGATCGGAAGCAAAACAAGAATTGCGAGGTAAAGAAAAAAAATACGCAATCATGTCGTAATTATCAATGACTCGTCTTGATTTGTATCTTGCGAATGATACTAAAGGATTTATAACCATTTCATGAGAAAAGTCTTCAAATCTTTACTTATTCTCTTTACAAAATGATTTAATCATGCAGACTGATATAAAACACTAAATAATCATTTCTTTTTATCTTTTTTTGTTTTGATTAATTTTAAAAAGACTTTTCGGTGAATTCATGTTGTGTATACTTCGTTTTTAATCCTTTTTGTTTTTTTATAATTCATTCTGCACATTATTTTTGTATCTGAGATTGCCTTACACAGAGAAATCGATCCATGTATTGACAAAATTTCTTTTTTAAATCAATTTCTATAATTACCTATTGTCAACAGATCATAGAGTGCACATCATGATGTTTTGCTTTATTGATCCTAGGCAAAAATGTTCCTCTTCAGTATACTTTGTGTAGACATACATGAAGTTGAAATATAGCAAACACAGAAGTAAATTATTGTGTACTCTGCCTTGATAGTGGAGAATACTTCAAAAATATTAATTGATGTAAACCATTAAACTGGTGATAAATTGGTTCATTGATAGTCTGTCGAGGACTAAACAATCAGATTCGTGGTGAATAATCTTCGAGTGGAAGAAAAATACATTTATTTAGCAGGATTGACATGTTGCTTCGTCGGTACCTGTATGTTTTTATTTTTCCTCATGGTGTTCTCTCTCAGCAATCAGTCTTATATTGTTCTTTTTCTTTTCTTCATATTGCCTGTGTTGCTTCATTCTTTGATTTTATTTTTTAAAATTCTGTTCATTACTTGTATCTACATTCCTTGAGTTTAATTGTGCTTTCTTGTAGGATCGACATGGTCATAGGACTCAAGAATGCTAAAACAATGAATATATAAAAACAGAAGAAAGAACTTAGTTGAAGATCGTTTTCTTGTTTGTTTATGAATTCAGATTGTTCTTAATGAACTCATTTGTTGAGATGTATCCTTTGTTTAATATTTACTAATTGATTGAAAATGTTAAAAATTCTCTTATTCCATTGTGATAAATAAATGAAAAACATTTTTTTCTTTTCAATGCGATAAATGTTGGAAATAATATTATGTCCATATGTTCGTTATTCTTGAGATGTCTGTTCTGTTTCGTCTAAAGACTAATGAAAGTTAAATGATGTATATACTTGTCGTTAAGAGAAGAAGAAAGAAAAACAGTCGGAGCTTATAACGAACAAAGCTAAACAAACATTATATGTAAATACATAATTATTTTGCCTGAATTTATTATTGTAGAAAGAAAAAGTGGTTTTTACATGTATAAGTGTTCTAGATTGATGCCAATGCACTAGTATTCAATAAATTTTGATATCTAATCAATCGACTACTCAATATCAGAAGTCAATGCAATCTTATTATAAGACTCATTAGTTAAATGATTTGGTGCTTGAACTAGAGTTATTAAACCGGCCTGAAAAGTTTCTCATCAAAAAATCTTCTCAATCATAACGCTAGATCATTAATGGTGTTGATATGAATACAATGATGTTTGTGTAAAAAGCAAATATGAAGAATACTTAAAGAGTTGAGAATATAATTGATTAGTAATTAAATGAATGTTTTTTTTCTATCGTATTGTTCGATGTTAATAAAGCAGATTAAACATATCGTAATGTAAAGAGTGGATAAAAAGCGTTTTCCAGGTGGATAACAATATGATTTCAAATAACATCAAGAAGTTTGGTGTCAATTCTCGGAAATTTCTAAATTTTTCTACCATATGAGCACAGATAAGTTCTTTTTATAAAGAAATTTAAACTAGATCTCATTTAAAATGATGAATATTACAAAGTACTGGATGCCTGACCTGGACATATTGGAAAATTGTCAAAAATTAAACTGAAGAAAACTACTATATCAGAGATGGAACACAATCATTATGATGGAGAAACTCAAAAAAAAAACATTTTTCATATAGTTTGGCCAACGTGGAGACAAACACTGATCGATTTCATATTATTTTATGTTCGTATCGGTCTCATCTTTCTGCTGTTAAAACGCTGATAGTCGTTCTACTAATTATTGACAAAACATTCTTACCCACCCTACATTATTCTACTAGCTGTTTTGGATGTCGGTCTAAATCTTATTGACAGTATGACAATTTACTTCAGCATTACTTTATTGAAAAGTAGTATTCTCGTTTAGAAAATATTAGTAAACATTCATGCACAAGAAGAAAAGATCTTTTCGTCTACGTTCTATCGCCACCAACCAAAATCGATTCCGCCGTTATTTCTTGAATTCCAAGAAAAGTTTCGTTGATCTAGCAGAAATAATTCCTGTGCTCTTGCTTCAAATGGACTATCAGCTGAAGCATAGCGAGCTCGTACATCCATGCCTCTGTAGGATGCTTGATTCATTTGTGTTGCGATATTGTCCAGACCACCTCGGCCATGTTCGTCCAAGCGTCGATTGACATCAAGAGACATGCCAGAGTTAGCATATTCCATTAATATAAGATGCAAAGATGAAGTTTTAATACGGTTATACTAGGCAACAACATGTCATATTTGAATGAAATATTATTGAGTTGTCGGTCTTCCCACACCATACGTTGCCATCAATTGATATACTCCTAAAAATTAATTAATAAGTAAGATTAGCAATAACGCGAAGTGTTATTTACCTGGACCACTATGTGCATTAGTCCCATTGTAATATTGCGAACGGCCCTGAGTCAGTATGTCGGAGGTTCCGAATCTTGGTTGTTCAAATAAACCAAATCGTCTGTCTCTGGAACCATCTATATTAAGGACTTGTGGCATTGTATAACGTTGATCACGTTCACCATCGTTTCTTGTTACCCATCCAATATTGCTAAATGTTCGTGACATTGATAATTGTAGTTATATAGTTGTAAACTATTGTAATGATATCTCCAGCATTGTATTCGCAATAAGACGCATCCTTATATAGATGTAGTAGGGTTGGGTTTTTCCAACTGTTAAATGACACAATAAATTTGTAATTTTTTCTTCTTTTCTCTTCATCAAAATTTTTTTCTTATTCTGATTGCCTATCATGATTTGCATATGGCAGCATTTTTGTAATTGCCATCACCTTCAGCAACGTCAGAATGGACGAATGTAAAACTTTCTATGCTGCAATTATTTGTTTTAAGTTGCTTGATCAAACGCATAGTGAAGAACAAGGCAAGGAAGAAAATATCGAGGAATCGCAAAATAGAAAAAGAACAGCCAATACTCTCACATGCATCCCGAGCAGAAAAATATTTCATAGATTGCTCTTGTGGTTCTTCATTCAGGGACTAATACATTCTGATTGTCGAGCAATTCAAAAAATTCGAATTTGCAGTATTAATATTGTTATTCAAATATACATCTCTGAACGAAGAAATCATGTGGTGAGAAAGTCTAGTAAATCATGATCACGTCCTTGACTTTACTCAAGGATCTCTTTAGTTGGTTTTGACTTTATATCTGTTTTACATATGTTCACGCTATTTTCAGTTTATGATCTCTGTATATTTATAATTCTGTGCTATTTGTGCTTCTATACTTTTACATGTGTCTAAAAGGCTCATATTTTCATTGTTATTATTAACTATTGATGAGTCTCATTGACAACAAACTATATAACCATCGTAATTTCTATGAGTAAACTGAGATAAGATAAATTTCATGAAATCGATTCAAATGTTTTATATGAGACGTCAGAAATGTTTACATTCGAACTAATCTTTTCATGATGAGTTAATTAATTGTTTTCATTTGCAATATCTTTTGATTTTCTATCAACCATATATGTCTTTGCCGAGCCATACTTAAATAGATGTAAGACTATTATCGACGATACATTTTCTTCGTTGTCTTGCAAGCGATTTGATCATGTCAAAGAACGAAGAATAGGAATATTTGCCTTGGTTAAGCGATGATCAATTCGACCAGACATTATCGAACTAAAACTAATCATTCTTGATTCGAAATCATCTTAAAACAACATGCAGAGTGTTCGAACTTGCGACGTCGATTTTACCTTGTAGATTACACCAACAGCAGTGTAAGACAGAGCTAAGTTACAAAAATGTTTATATGGTAGCTTGTAAAGTCGATTGTGCCATTAGATATTATATTATTCTATGTCAAATCGAACTTCTACCATTAGTTATCTTGTAAAAAATTGCCTCAATAAATCGCTCACTAAAGTTCGTGTAAAAGTTGATAGGAAAGGGTCAATTACAATCATCTGTGCTCAAGTTTGTTCGTTTGACATCAGGATTTTCAATATATCGTGAAGAGCCCGAGATTTACATCGTCATGCGAAAAATTAAATAATTTTGGTTATTAGTATGGCACTATTAAACTTGGTATACCTTCAGTCAATTCATCCTGAAGAGGACAATCGGTGATAACTCAAGTATGCGTAACTCGAAGCAGATTATTAAAAATATGCAATAAGCTCTTCTACGCTTTCAATGAATAACAGGTGTATTCTTTGAGTGTGGGTATAAGGAATAAGGACCCGACACCCTCACACACACACACACACCCTTTTCACAACCACCTATTTCATTCACATCCTTATATAGACTCTATCTTTTAAAACTCCAGAATGTCTTCTATCTTTATTCAACGATAATTGAGAAAAAAATAATAAAAGGAAAAACACAGAAAGAACATTCTGTTTTTTCATAATGTAAACGAATATTTGTCTAGTATGGTAAGATTATTTAGAAATAGTATCTTCTAAATAATTATTGCGTTTTTTGATTTCGACTTTCTGTTTGTCGGCCTATATAAGAAAAATGCTATTGACCTGAAGCAATTATAGTTAAACAATTACCCCGAAGCATATCCACAATCTTCATTTGAACGTTTGTTATTTAATTGTTGTACAGACGAGTGGCCTAAATGTACAAAGATAATTTGAAAATGATAATCGATATGAACGTTTGTTATGAGAATAATTGTCAAGAATAATAAAAATATAACAATCAGTTTTTACCTGTCTGTAGCGGTTGAATTGGAGCCATTCGGGATGCACCAAAATTAATGATCATGTCTAGAAAAAGACTAACAATTATTATTATGAAAGAATTTGCTTACTTACCTTCAACAAATTCGATTTTCGTTGTCACAGTTGAATAGCTATACGGTTTAAATTTAAGGAGATTTTCAGTTTCTGGTTCGATAACGCCAAGGGAAAATTGTACTCGAAAACGGTTGGAACTATTTTCAGACTACATGGATTGAGCAGACTTTCGAATGATCAAGGACAAACTAAAAAGAATTCGAGAAGTTCTATCTCGGAATTCAAATGTGAAATAAATTTTCATTTCAAATAGTTGCTCAGCTCATGTAGAATGTTGCACTCTATAAAGTTTTACTAAGATAAAAAAGAATATTTCACTCACTAGTATCTATGAGTTTTGACACTGAAATAAGCTCGATTGTTTTGGACCTCGACATTTGGAGGACCAGCAATTTGATAAATGGTACTGGGTTTATTATTTGTAATCAATGCCACTTCGATGTATTCGCAACGAGTCCCAAGCGAACACGCAAACATCTCGGGAATCTATATGTTTAATAACACTGAAAATTATTAGTTTGATCAAATTAACTATCATACAAACCTGCAGAAGAAATTCATCTTTGTAAAAACTTGTATTATCCAAATGAAAATAAATAACTGAATTATCACGATCATCATTCAAAATTTTGATTGAAGCGAGTTGTTGATGCTCCCTGGCAATCAATGTTTTATCAATCGGACGTTGAACTACATGTGATAAAAGCTTAGTAAATATATATATATATATATGAAAGAAATTTCGACGCCAACATGCCTCCATGAATGCAGTTTGACCAAAGTGTGGGTCCATTTGGATCGATCGGGATGATACGGCTGACTTTCCCATCATTTCCGAATTTGACACGAACAAAACGGAAATTAATCCAGATCTTATGAGATTCCAGTTCTTGTTGAAGCTGTGTTGGTCCCCTTTGATGAACCACTACTTTTTCACCTATTGTAAACATATAGAAAATTTGAGTATTGAAAACATGACACAGTATTATCATGACGAAAGAAAAAGCAAAATACATTAGACTCAACTTCGATTAGTGTCTTAGATTATTAAAATTGAAGTTCCGTGAAACGAAAACAAAAGACACTGCCTTATTCATTTAATCGTTGACGAAATGTCGATAAAACATATATACCTGATGGATACTGGGTCATGACAAAATCAAACAATGTTGTGTTAGCTGGCGCATTTGTACCACGTTCATTGTTGGCTTTAAAATCATTCTGGCGACATTTGGCAAGCTTCCAATCCTTCAGTCTAGAAATATTCAGATTAAAATTAATCAGCAGTGCTAAGTAGTGTTCGATTTCGTTCCATAAAGTCATGGCGATTGGTTCTGATTTCGAGATTTCGTCTGAAGTTTGGAGATCAACTTTACCCTATTTCCACGGTGAGATTAGGTATCAGTCACACGTAGGAGGGAAAGCAGAATCGAGGGAAATGTCGGACTGTATTATATAGATTCAGTTTAGTTTTCTTACCATTGGCATCAAGATCGATTTAATTTGTCCCAATCAAATCAGAACGATAGAAAAAGTCAAACCATTGGACTAACGTAGACTAAACTAGACCAGATAGTTTTTAAGACTCCATGCATCTATTTGCCTTCTTATATAATGCAGAACACTTAAAAACTCATTTCCCTGCTAGAATTAGATTCTAAAGTTCCATTGTCATGAAAATATATGTCTTTTTGGATTTAGACAAAAATGATTATGTATATGATTGACGGACTATTTTGAGCGAATTCTTCATAGGTATTGACTGAAATATGCATGAGATGCTTTTCAAAAGAATCCTACATTGTGTTTGATAGAAATTTTTTCATGGGATCAACTTGTCTTGGATGCCATATCAGTTCTGTTTATCTGTGGTCAAAAGATATGTAATAAAAGAATGACTTGATATCTCAACATGCGCGACAACTCTTATATTAAGAAAAGTTCTAAGTAATAACTAATTGCGATTATTTCTCTTAATAATTTACTTTAAAAATGTGAAATCTTTTCCCAGAATGGTTTTAAGATGATTATTTGTTTTCTTTGAACAAAAAGCAAATTTTTCGATTTCAAGACTTAATTAAAATTTGATACGTGTTCCAGAACATAGGAAAATATTTCATATTTATATAAAAACAATAGGAAAATTTTTACTGTCTCTCGATAATTTTTCGAAATTGTCAAAACTTACACGACAAGTTGACATCCATCACATCGTTGCAATTTTATTAAAGCTGTATTTGTACACATTTTACCAATTGTTGCCACAGGACCTTTAAGCATGTATGAGCTGAAAAGCTCGCCGAATTTTTTTGTTTTTGCCACTACATTGACGGCCAGATATGTGTTGTCATCGGAAACATTTAACTAGGAATATTCAAACAAGTATTAAGTAATGTGTTCTTCTAATAAATATACGTACTACAAGCAGAACTAACAGTTCTCCGTGACAGTCGTTTAGAGGTATAGACTCAGCAGACCCACGTATTCCCACGTGAGGCATAGCTGGGTGGGATAAGTAAGCAGAAGCCGGTGTAACTATAATGTATAAATGAATCAAAGTAATTAATATCTTTCTCATGTTAATCATCCAAGCTACTAAAACTAGTAGCATACAAACAGATTTACCTTGGACTGAGTTATTGATTGGTAATTGATCATGACTATTACCAATGATATAAATTTCTGCTTTCAAAATTTCCGGATGTTTTACTATTATAAATGAATAGGATGATATAATGCAACAAATAGTATTAATATTTCTGCATACCATTTTCATGATGAACAGAAGTCGGTTGAGTTTCTTGTAACGTCTCATTAACTTCGATGCTAGGTACATCCGGTAGAACACCATATTGACTAGAATTTCGAAGCGAATACTGAATATCTATCCATTGACTGTCATTCATTGCTGTTTTAAAAAAAAGTATTCATTGAAACTTGTTCTATAAGAATATATTAATTTACCAGCTGTCGTTGCTGGTTGGACATGATGTTGAGAAGTTGAGAGTGTTGACATAGATGCTTGATTTCCTTCAATAAATCGGTATCGATGATATTTTTTAAACATTGATTATATTCACTTACCAAACAACTCGTGATTTGAAGGCACAGAAGACACATCTATAAAGAGAGACAGATATATGAAATACTTTAGGCATATCCATATAAATATATAGTTACTGGTGTCAACATTTGCATTCATGTTTGATGGTGGAACCTGAGAAGGAAGCTGTTGCTGGTTATCGTTCACTATCATTTCGTCAATGCTTGATTGTATGACCGGATTGATACCACGACTATCCAACAGGGGTGGAGTATTCAAGTCTCGACGATCATCTAAATTACGTATATTTAAGAGACGATTAACACTAGAAGCAATTACCTTCATTATAAATGAGTGAACAAAGTCGTGAATCATCCAATAAAAAAGACTTCAGAGAATCTGAAGAGCTAGCCATTCTGTTTCATTTGCTGTTGTACACGACTGTATCACATATGTCGAATTGACTGAATTTTCATTCTGAAAAATTGAATCGGTTGAAAATTCAATATTAAAAGTACGAGAATCGAATACTTAGCCGACGTTTTTTATGATGTTTCACCTTCCACTACGACAAAAACTTATTTTATTTCATATAACCGCTCCTACACTCCAGAAAAAATTTATTTTCTCAAAAAAAACGTTTTCTCCTGAACCGAAAAAAATTCAATTCAAAATTTCGAGAAACTGATCTCAGATTCGGATTCTTCGACCTTGATTTTTTTTCCTCAACCTTTATCCGATATCGTTATTTTCTCAAAAAACCCTTTCCTCAACCTAAAAAATCAATTGAAAATTTCGAGAAACTGACTTGAGATTCGGATTCCACGACCCGGATTTCCTTTCGTCAACCTTTACAAAATAGCATTATTTTCTCAAAAAATCCTTCTTTTGACCCCAAAAAATCCAATTCATAATTTCAAGAAACTGACTTCAGATTCAGATTCCCCGACCCCGATTTACTTTCGTCAACCTTTAGAGAAAATTTTCTAAAGTGGATATTTTTTTGAACCCGATGCAGACACAAACACACACAAACTATTTTTTTTTATATGACCTCCCTATAGTCCAGGAAGAAATCATTATTTGCTTAAAAAAGCCATTTTTAGAAAAAAAATTATTTGACAAAATCCAAAAACTAATCATACCATTGAATTCCCTGACCCCGAGAACTATTGGTCAAATTTTATAAAAAAATCATTATTTTCTTCAAAAAAGCCTTTTTTTAGTAAAACAAACTTATTTGCAAAAATCCAAAGACTTATGGTACCATTCGATTCCCCGACCCCCAAAAACCTTTGGTCCAACTTTCCTCTAGACACATGTCGAAAACTAATGCCCATTAATATTTCAGGCGATGTTTTTTTCATATGGATGTTCTTTTGACCTGCCACACCGCCACACTGGCACAAGCTATGTTTTTTTCATATGACCCTCCCTACAGTCGAGGAAATATTACCAAATATATGATAATCATCATTCAATGGTCTTCTGAATCCGGTGCACTTGAAATAGCGTCAATGACCATTAACATTAAATCATCATCAACACAACAATATTTTTGTGGATTACAGCACATCGAAATTGAACGATTTGAACTACATGCTAGATTGGACGACAAGAAACATGAGCGTCGCTGTGTGTGTGTATCAGCAGATGTCTTAAATCTACGCCAATACCCACAACCACACCCTTATGATGTTAATGTTAATGATTTTATGAAAATTATTAAAACTTTCCTTCTTTTTTGTTTTCTTTTCTTGTATTGTATCATCAATGTGAAAGTCATGATATTTTGGTTGACAATAATCGTATAAGATCGAAAATTCCTTTATTACTATTAAAAATAAAATAATCATTTACAAAACTTCTACATTTCTTTTGATTTGTTAGGTTTTTGTTAATACGCTACTAAAACACGATATTTATTTTCGGTCTTATTTCTTAATACCTTACCTGATACCATAGCCATCAACAATATTTGAATATTCTCTTTAGTATGAAAGATAATCAAAGTTCCTGAATGCTAATATGCAATCCACACATTCACAACTCTCACATTAATACGAAGAGTGATGTTATCGATGATTTTAAAAATATAGATGAACTCATAAAACACACAGTCAACAAGATGAATAATATAGAAATATGTTCTGCATATCACTCTCGTTCGAATGATGAAAGGCTCAAGTCTAAGTAATATCTACATGTGATTAATGAGAGTGTTCGATTCATCTCAGGTATTTTTCATTTGTCGAGAGGATACTACCCATGCTTGAGTAGTTACTATGCGTCATATTTTGTCCTCTATTTGTTTATGCTATGCATCAAGGATTATTTTACATATTAGTCATTTCCATAATGCATACTAATCTGAAAGGATAGTTTCCTTTTTCAGAGTTATATTCCGATCGATTCATGATATCATACACCATCATGCAAAACTATTTATGATTTACATTGGGAAACAATCAAAATAGATGGGATAATTTAACTTTGATGATATCGTACTTCATCTCATATATAAGGGTAGTGTAGAATCGTTTTTGTATGTACACAAAACAAATTACTACTGTATAGATACATTGAAAACATTGAGCAACGATGATTCAACGATATATCGTTTCATATATTGCAATTACAATGATAGTAATTAACGTCTACGCAGAAGAATTGAGAGTTGGATTGTTTTCAACACGCTCAGTCTTTGCTAAAACACATGACGTAGCATTCAACCTACGATACAGCAATACTGGTAATAAAACAATACATATTTATAAATGGTGTTTACCAGACAACGAATTACGTGATCCACTATTCCATGTAACCTGTAATAATGCTTCAATTAATTATGTTGGTTCACTAATTAAACGACGTAAACCGACTATGGATGATGTAATTTCTATACCACCTGGCAAAACTATAGGCAGTCTCGTTCGATTATCGTCAGCATACGATCTGAATAAGACTTGCAATTATTCAATCAAATATCATATGTCAACGGATCGTGTTGTCTTCAGACCTGATCGTACATTGAAGAGTCTTCTTAGAAAGTCCATGAATGACTTTGATTCTGATATAGAGTCGAATCCTCTTGAATTAGGAATCGAAGGTCGTTTTAATATTCAAAGTGAACAAAATAAGATTACGAGCTCACTTGTCGGAGCAGCCACTATTCAGTATGCTTCTTGTTCAGCAACTCAACAGTCTCAACTTAGATCTGCAGTCTCTTCAGCTCTTAATTATGCTACTAATGCTTTGAATTATTTGCTTGTCACAACACCGTCTGGAACAAAGCGCTACACAACTTGGTTTGGTGTATACACGTTAACGAGCTGGAATGCAGTAAAGCAACACTACGAACATATAAAAAGTGTGCTGAGTTCGCAGGTTATAACTTTCAATTGTGGATGCAATACAGCCAACGTATATGCCTATGTTTACTCGAACCAACCGTACACAATTTATTTATGTCCTGTGTTCTGGTCAGCTCCAACGATAGGTACTGACTCAAAGGGTGGCACACTTGTTCATGAACTCTCACACTTCTCAATCGTCGCTGGTACTCAAGATTTTGCATATGGTCAGGGGCAAGCCCAAATTTTGGCTAGGAATAGCATGTCAAAAGCAATTATGAATGCTGATAATCATGAATATTTCGCCGAAAACAATCCAATGATGTCTTAACAAGCTCAAGAGAATTCGGACTAAACTAAGAACTATTTCTGCTTGAACAATTCAAATCACTTCATATGTTATTCTTTCCCTTCTCTAACAATAATATCTGATTTTTTTTCCTCTTTTTTGACTAACAATTTAACGATAAATTTTATAAGTTTTACATTACATTATAAATTTTTGAATCATTAAATAAAATTTTATTTTATTATTTAATACAACATTTTATTAAGAAATAAGTTTGGTGTTCTATTTCAATATTTCGACACTTTTACTATCATTGTCAATACATACTATGGTGGTTCGCACTAATAAATATGGTTTAAAGAATGAAAAAAAAAACGAACATTTGTTTGTTGCTGCTAACAGGAAAGCTTCCAAATATAACTAGAATGGATGAAATCAGTGTTATGAGTCCTTATAATACTAATTATGTGCATCTATAGTAGTTCATCAATTACTGTTTCATTTTGACTTTTATCTTATTTTTTGTTGTGGTTCGTTGAAATATATTATGAGTAATACAGAGCAAACAGTTCTATTTATTGTAGATTAATGAATAGCTATGACTAAAGACTTTGTTACTAATAATTGGTATTATTTTGTGGCTTTTATAATGACTTTTCAATCAATCTACTTAATATTACGATGATTACGAAGTTCGTGTTTTTTGCAAGTAAATTTTATTTGACTTGTCTGTTGTTTCAGAATTTCATTATTTTTTTTCTTCGTTATGTTCAATATTATCGTTGTTTTCTGGCTGATTCAGTGGCGCCGAAGGTACCCGTCTGCGCATACGGCCGTACGTAGAAATTTTTCCAAACGAACGGGCACTTGTACAGTCCAGTTATAAAATCCCATGGAAGTAAATTTTTACGAAGAAGTTTCGTGCGGGGAAAAGTTTTCAATGTGACGGCAGATTCGGCACCTCTGATCTGATCTACGGAAATTATCTGAATTGGATGTTGAAGTTGGTAGTTATAAAGATATGAATGTTTCATTTTTCTTTTGATTACCATTATGTTCATAGAATCTTCTGAATGGTTTTCATATGTGTTTATCTAGTTATGAAGGTTTATAGTTTGAATAATTCATTTTGTAAGCAATGTTAGTTTGTAATTCTTTAGATCTAAAGTCTTAAAATGAAAAAAATCTGGTGATATATGGAAGTGATTTATTTCTAGATTAGACGACTAAATTTGTCAGTAGTTATGTAAGTCTAACAAGTATGTCTACGGTAAAAAATTGCACGACAACAACAAATAAGTTATCCAGACGTTATTCGTAAAAATGTTTTTTAAATGTCATTCTGCAAAGTAAAATCGGTAATCCTAGGAGTGGAATGCTTTTTAAGTGTTTCGAATGAGTGTTATCGTTTTTAAAATGACTCTTTCAAGACGAAGACATCTGTCAAAGAAATCAAAAAAGTCTAAAAGAAAATTTATGGTTTCCAGACTCTGTATTGTTCAAGGTGAATACATGATATATCAATCCTGACTGCAATATAAGTCTGTTTCTCGTTGAATTTTTTTCACGACTATCATACAGAATTCAACTATTAATATTGTATTTTTCATACAGAATTGTAGTTTGTTGCAAAAAATTAATAAAAACCATATTTGAAGTATTTTTCAAAACAATTGTGATTTTTTCGAAAAAAAGCCGAAGTCAAAAGGTTTAATGAAGAGAAAAGTCGCTTAGAAAAAGTTGTTTTGATCACTTTGCTCGCCACACAACAGTCTTTATGTTGAATACTTTTGGTACTCAATCAATCGTAGACAGGTAAAGAAAATTGAAAAACAATGTTGTTTTTGACGAAAATGAATAAATTTCTGTCATAAAGTATTTCCGACGAATGCGCATGAAACGACGGTGAAAGAAATATGAAAGATATATAATTCGATAGAGTATCTTAGGCTGTTCAAAATGAGCTATTCATTATTTTTTATCGTTTTAGTTTCAGACGAAGAAAACTTCTTTCTCTTAGTACATCTCTCTATAACATATATAGCACAAGAGACATATAGAATAGCAGTCGCAGGCTTAACATAGATACCGTACTGATTCAAGAAAGCTACCGACAAGGTCAAACTTGTATTGGATAGAGAAAAATGTCTCTAGCAATAATGACAAAAATACAAATTCGATTGATGTAACCAACATGAAAAAAGATAGAATTTTAATCTTTGACTATTATATGGAGAATTATTTCAAATCTATCTATGTCTCATGAAGTTATCTGAAGGAGACAAAACTTTCAGAAGATCATCATTATCATATCCACCAGTTGATGAAACAATATGGCTTCTATATGACACTTATTGGCTGAGATAATATAGGTTTTCAGAAAAAATGGCGAATATCTTCATAACTTGAAAATTGGCTATTTTAGTTGATTCCAGACTAACTTGAGAAGTCAATATCTCAGCCCAGAAACGCCTTGCATCGAAACCTAAATAGACTTTTTAATGACGCACCAGGGTCTATCTAATGGCAGTACTTTCAAGGAAAAAACGATTTTACACTTCGAGACGTTCGTTCGTGAGTCAACGAAGCAAGCCACAGATGAAGAAGTTGAGTAGATACATAAACATTGGCATGCATTTTCTTCTTGTGATGTTTAAACAATTTTGATTAGTAAATCTCATTCTATCCATTAGTTTCAATTGACATCTTTAATGAAAGGCAGAAAAATTCTCACTAGTAATTCGAGAAATTCCTGTAAATTTTTATGTTACTGATATCTGTGTGAGTATAAGAAATAGAGTGCTGAAATTCTAACGTGGAGTAATCTAGATGTGAAGCACATATGCTATAAATATTAGCGTAGGTTGTAGTTGCAAGTGTAGATGGGAGTGTAGGCCTAGCGTCGGTGTGTGGGTTTTGTGCCTTCTACTCTCGCACATATCCTTTCCCTCGCCACACCATATCCGCACTGACAGAAATCGACACTCACTCACGCCGTCTCATCCACACATCCATACCTGGACCCATCGCCACCGGCACCTACTCCCACAGTCCTAGTCACATCCGTATCCCACAGATACATTCACCCCGCACCCAGAGATTGACGTACCCCCACAGTCACAGACCACGCCCTTACCCACATCCTCTTACGATAGAGAGTTAGTCAAAAAAAGTCTACTCATCTATTTAAGGAAGTTTTATGTGATTGTAAATATATAACAAATAATTTACATCACATTCGAAATTACATTTCGTAAGATATACAAATGATAATGCTAGCAGTCTTCGAAAACATATATGAATCATTTCCATGAATAAGATTCCAAATAAATTGATTTTATATCTTAAAGCAATATTTATTGACTTTTTTTTTTTTTACAAAACAAAAAAAAGCACACAAAGTGGATGTATTATACTTCATCATTATGAATGTAAAACGGAAAACAAAGAATTATTGCATAGCAGACTATTCTTATATATTTTATCAGGCAAAAGAAAGAAACTTCTTTTTATCGTATTCATAGTAAACATTATTAAAGAAATTTACGAACACACACTCATACAAATATCAATCATATGTACATAAAGGAAAAAGAATTCGAGTGGAATGTATGTATAAATAGATACAATATGAAGAAGTAACAACGGCAACAAATAAAAAGATTCATAATTTTAACACGGATGGTGTTTTTTGTAAATGAGAGTCTCTATGTGTATCATGTAAACGATAGAATTCATCATCATCATCATCATCACTTAAACCTCCATTTTGATTTGCACTATTACTAATATTTTTATTTAATAATGGACTTTTTGTTGAAGATGATGACATTGTACGTTTTAAATTAAATGTATCATTTTGTGGTCGAACAGTTATTATTAAATTATGACTATTTGCTACCATCATATCTGTAACTTGATCTAATGTTTTTCCGCTAACTTCAATACCATTCACTTCGATTATTTCATCTCCAACAGATAATAAACCAGTTGATTCAGCTAGACCACCAGCTAATAAACGTGATATAAATACACCGGGTACATTTTCAACACCATTAGGACCATATTTAATAGCTACACCATCACGTATATAAAATCCAAGTGGTTTACTTTCTTTATAACGATGTAATTTAACACGACGATATGTAACAGGTAAAATTTCAACATCAATTATTGATGATACAAGACGAAAATCTGGTTGAACTTCAATATTACGTTGTGGTGAATGACTATTTTTATCTAATGATGGATGAATTAATGATGATATTTGATCAGATATTTTTTTTCGTTTTTTTAATGAATCTGTTGCATATTGATATGATTCACCTATACATTCAAATACAATTTAATAATATATCAAACTGGTTGTCAAAAAACAAAGTTTTTTTCTTATTTTAGTTATATTACACTGTAACTATGATTAATCTTGTAATTTCCATTTTAACAAGTATCAGAACTATGCTTATGCGAGATAGTGGAATGTCATGTACGAGTACGACTTTTCACAGTCACAGTACGCTTTTCAAATTTTTATTTTATATAAAAAAAGATGTCGATATCTCATTATTTGTCGGATTCGTAGTCCCGATATGAGATCAGATTTGACATCCGATTTGGTTGCAAGATATTAGCGAAGAGTCTAAGCAAAAAAAAAATATTTCTTTACCTTTTCTTTGTACAAATACTCGTAATAAACCAGAGTAAACACGTAAAATATGTTCAATAATAGTATCATTATTAATCGAAAGTAATTCTCCATCTTTATCTAAATAAGTTATATGAAAGGCAATATTTTGTAAACTATGTAAATCTTCAATTAATTTATAAAAATCATCAAATTTTATTGGATTTTTTCTATCTAATTCAAATCGACGAAATTCAGCACCAAACTTTAGATAAACAAAAAGAAAAGAGCAAAGAAAACATCTTATTTAAATTATACAAGAAAAAACAATAACATCATTCATACTTTGCTTTTAATTTCAAGTAAAGACAACATTATCCACACTCTAATAAAACCATAAATGATATTATTTGTTAACATAGAACAAATAAATATTTGTTCTGTTTTATTATTGGTAGAAATAATCAATAGACATATAGCGACAAATCATTTGAAAACAAATCATTAAATATTGAATGAATCATATAAAACAAGAACAATATCTTTTTACATCTTTTTTTTTATATATATTAATTTCTTAGCATGTCTCCTTCGATTCTTTTACCTTATATTTATGGATTAGATTTATCAAAAAATGAATTTGGAGTATGAAATTTTAATTTTATGACTTTTTTTTTCTGCTTCTAACCATTAATATTATATTTAGAATGATCAACAATTTCCAATATCATTACAAGAAATGTGTAATTTACGTTGGCTTGAATTAAATCGTACAAATGTTAATCGTTTACCAGAATTTATTGGCACACTTAAATCACTTGTATATTTTATTTTTATTGCAATTTTAATTTTAAGATTCCTTTTATAATATTTCTAGGAAAAATTAAGTTTATCACATAATAATTTACGTGATGTACCATTTTGTTTAAATAATTTAACATCATTACGTTCATTATCATTACGAGATAATCATGTATCACATACACAAATATCAGCACGTTTATTTAATAATCCAGATTTATCAATACTTGATTTAAGTCATAATAATCTACAAGCATTTCCTAAAGATATTGAAAATGCGAAAGGTCTTATTGTACTTAATCTTTCATCAAATCAGTATGTTCTGCAAAATAATTTTAAATCCTAGGAAAATTTATTTATTTCATTTTTTTTAGAATCGAACAAATTCCTAGTCATGTATTTGTATCACTTTTTGAATTAGTTCATCTTAATTTAAGTGATAATAAAATTGGTAAAAATATTTTTTTTTTGTTCCTATAAACTAATATGAATTTAATTTCAGACACATTACCAGCACAAATGCGTCGCTTAACATCATTACAAGTATTAATATTAAATAATAATCCTCTTATTCATGCACAATTAAGGTAGAAGAAAAGCAAAAGAATTTCTTGAAAAAAAAAGAAAAACATTTTTCTTTTTTTTTTTTTGCAATAGACAATTATCATCAATGAATTCACTTGAAACACTTCATTTGAGTAATACGAAACGAACATTAAATAATGTTCCAGCTATACTTGAACAGTTACCAAATCTTTCTGGTAAGGAGAAAATTATTGTTTTTTTTTATTTTGTTTTTGTTTAATTTATTTAAATAGATCTTGATTTATCAGCAAATGATCTTCCGGCTGTACCGGATGTTGTATATAAATTAAAAGCACTCAAACGTTTGAATTTAAATGATAATCAAATAAGTGAATTAACTGGTCAATCAGGTTCGAACAAAAATCATTCGAATAGAATCGATTTATTTTTATTTTCTTATAGATAGTTGGCCACAACTTGAAATTTTACAAATATGTCGAAATAAATTAAGAAGTCTTCCTCAACAATTAATGCGTTGTACTAAATTAAGACGTCTTTATTTAAATAGCAATCAAATTAGTTTATATGGTTTACCAAGAGGAATATTTAATCTTGAAAAACTTGAAGTGTTTAGTGCAGCTGATAATAATTTAGAAACAATACCTGATGCACTTTGTCGATTAGGAAGTTTAAAAGTATTAAATTTAAATAAAAATAAATTATTAACATTACCAGAAGCTATTCATTTTTTACAATTAAAAGTAAGTATTAACTATGAAAAATATTGTGTATACTTGATACGATAAATAATAAAAATAGTTCTAGTATAGAATTTATCATTCATAACTTTCGTTAGAATGTATTATATAGACTTGAATATTATCAATAGTATATCATTATGAGAAGAAAAAACAGAGTGCTCATATAATGCGAGTTGACTAAATATTAATTATAGTCTGTAATAGGAATAAGACTTTCCTCTGAAATTAGGCCTTGACATTTAGAATACTATAATTTTTTGTTTGTACCCTCTAGTTTTGAAATGAATAATCAAATATATGATAAATAGATATTTATTTTTGTAACCGACACATCTTTCTTAACGAGGTCAAAAAAAACCTGATAGTGTGTATTACCTGAATGACATAAGATGAATTGAAATAACGAATACATGACATCATTATGATTAGTTTCTTTAATGTAATAGTTT